GCCCAGGACAGGGTGATGTCAGGACTGGCTCAATCCTGAAAGGCCCAGTATTTTAGTGTTTTTTGCCCTCCTTCTCTAGGCATCCAAGGCATTGTGGATGCCTACCGCCAAGCCCTGCCCCAAGTTCGTCTCTATGGCCCCACCAACTTTGCACCCATCATCAACCATGTGGCCAGGTTTGCAGCCCAGGCTGCACATCAGAGGACTGCCTCGGTGAGGGTCGTGGGAGGTGGGGGTGGTGGGATGGTCTTGGTCAAGGGCTCCCTTGAGGGCCATGTAACAAGGGACTTCTTGTCAGTGTGGGAATGTGTGGCTGAGGTGTTAAGAGGGTTTGCCTCAGTGTATGAATGGGTTTGCCCCCAGCAATACTTCGTGCTGTTGCTGCTGACCGACGGTGCTGTGACAGATGTGGAGGCCACATGTGAGGCTGTGGTTCGTGCCTCCCACCTGCCCATGTCAGTGATCATCGTCGGTGTGGGTGGTGCTGACTTTGAGGCCATGGAGCAGCTGGATGCTGATGGTGGACCCCTGCGTACACGTTCTGGGGAGGCATCTGCCCGTGACATAGTGCAGTTTGTGCCCTACCGCCGCTTCCAGAATGTGAGTGGGAGCAAGCTTGGGGGCAGACTAGATCTGGGAGTTTACCCTTCTACCTCTCCCTGATATGAGTGGAGATACTCACTCTTTCATCTAAGTTTGGGGCAGGTTGGGTGTTGGGTTTGTATCCTTTCTTTGGTATGAAACGTAGACCTTGGGAAGCTTTTATGGGCCACGACTGACCTTGCCCCTCTTCTCCTGGCAGGCCCCTCGAGAGGCGTTGGCACAGACTGTGCTCGCAGAAGTACCCGTACAACTGGTCTCCTACTTCAAGGCCCAAGGTTGGGCCCCCCTCAAGCCACTTCCACCCCCAGACAAGGGCCCTGCACAGGCCCCTCAGGCCTAGATTCCCTTAGAGAGTAAGCTGTGGCCAGTCCTGTGTCTCCAAGGGTCCCTATGGGCCATGGCGCAATCCTGCACACACTCCCCAGTGCTAGCACTTTGTATTTTATACTTTTATACTTGTTCCTGCTATTGCTGCTCTTGATCCCATCTGCTTGCCCCTGGAGCCCCTCATTCAATAAAGATCAATGAAGACTACTGCTTTGCCACTGCTCCATGTGTTTTTGGGTGGGAATCTGCCATTAGCCATGTTTACTTCTCCTCTCTGAGCCTCAGTTTGTTGACCTTAGGGTTTGTTGAGTAAAGGTTGCCCCTGACATAATAGCCCCACTCAAAGAAATTGGGTATTCCTGGCGAGATATCTAGAGACACTGACTCTATTTTTGAAAATACAAAGATTAAATGTAAGTCAAACACCCAGCCAGCCTGTCCTGCTTCAGGGCAGAGCTGAGCTGGGAACACAGAAGGTGGAAAGTGCTAGGGGAGGAATGAGTTTTAAGATTGAGCAAGGGCTATGCTAGACTTCCTGGAGGAAGGAACAGTGGTGGTTCTAGTCCTAAAGATAGGCTATAAGCCTGAATTTTTTAACAGCTATTTTTTCTTACTAGAAAATTAATATGTATATTAATTGTAGAAAAAAATTCAGAAAAAAATAAATAGTACCTAAACTCCCACGTCCCAATAATATATTTGGTGCAGGTCCGGCCCCGTGGCTTAGAGATTAAGTGCACACGCTCCGCTACTGGTGACCCGGGTTCGGATCCTGGGCGCGCACCGACGCACCGCTTCTCCGGCCCTGCTGAGGCCATGTCCTACATACAGCAACTAGAAGGATGTGCAACTATGACATACAACTATCTATTGGGGCTTTGGGGAAAAAAAAAAAAGGAAGAGGATTGGCAATAGATGTTAGCTCAGAGCCGGTCTTCCTCAGCAAAAAAAGAGGAGGATTAGCATAGATGTTAGCTCAGGGCTGATCTTCCTCACAAAAAAAAAAAAAAATTTGGTGCATATTTTTTAGTCTTTTATGCTTATTTATAGTCTATACATGTTATTTATTTTATGAAAATAGGATCATATTATACATGATATTTTAGCATGTTTTAAACTGTAAAATGTATGCTAATTAGTACAAAATGATTTCAAATAAAATATTGTATAAAGTAGATTATGGAGCAGGTGAGGACCCTTGTCTTTCCTAGGTTTGACATTTTTTTTTTCTAAATAGGATATTATCCATAATGTTTGCACCTTGTTTTTATTATGTTTTGGGTTACCCATTAGAACTTATTGCTGACCTCATTCTTTTTAATACCTTTATATTATTTTGTCTGTGAGTGTACTAGAGCTTATTTAGCCAATCCCTTATTTACTGAAATTTGGGTCCCTTCCAGTTTTGTTCTATTACAGTGCTGTAATAAATATCCTTGTACAGGGGCTCGCCCCATGGCTTAGCGGTTAAGTGTGTGCGCTCCGCTGCTGGCGGCCCGGGTTCGGATCCCGGTCGCACACCGAGGCACTGCTTCTCCGGCCATGCTGAGGCTGCGTCCCACATACAGCAACTAGAAGGACATACAACTATCTACTGGGGCTTTGGGGGGAAAAAATATCCTTGTACATTTATCTGTGCATTTACAGGAATGTTTCTGAAGGATTTGTTCCTAGAAGTGGAAATGCTAGATCAGAGGGTATGAATGTTTAAAATTTTTGATATTATAAATTGCTGTCCATAACAACAGTTTTTTACCCCTTTTGTTAATGACAGGCAAAAAAAGAAAAACAATCTAATTTTTATTTATTTATTTTTTTGTGAGGAAGATTAGCTCTGAGCTAACATCCACGCCAATCCTCCTCTTTTTGCTGAGGAAGACTGGCCCTGGGCTAACATCTGTGCCTGTCTTCCTCCACTTTATATGGGACACTGCCACAGCATGGCCTGATAAGCGGTGCATCGGTGCACGCCCGGGATCCGAACCTGGGCCGCCAGCAGCGGAACGCGCGCATTTAACTGCTACGCCATGGGGCTGGCCCCCCAAAAATCTAATTTTTAGTTTGAATTTATTTAATTATGAAGGCTAGGTATCATTTCATATGTTTATTTATGAACTATATTTCTTCAGAATAGCCTATGTATAGGTTTTTGTTGTTGTTATAGCCTTTATTCTGTTAACAGTTATTCAGTTATTAAGCCTTTGTCACTTATACACATTGAAAATATTTCTTCCTAGGCTATTGTCTTTTCATTCATAGTTATCTTTTGGTTGATAGAACTCTTTTGATATGGAAGTTTAAAATTTTTATGTGTACTAATCTAGCTCGCTTTTTAAGGAATTATCCATATATTAATTACTTTCCATGACATTAAACATCCCCTTATATTCCCATTTCTATTGGCTCCATATTATTTTTATAGCATAATTTATCTTCTTAAATACTATTTCCAGTTTTTTTCTTTATAAACAACAGTTGATAAAGAATTTTAATCTGGCCAATTGTTAGCTGTGTGACCTTGGGCAAGTAATGTCCCCTTTGTGAGCATTACTTTCCTCATCTTGAAGGGGGAGATAATAGCACTTCAACAGTGTGATGAATATTCTTATAAGTATTATCTTTGATTACATCTGTGTATCCTTTGGATCCATTCTTAGAAATGGAATTGCTCTTATTAAAGAGTTTAAAAATTTTTTAATTTATTTTTTGTGAGGAAGATCAGCCTTGAGCTAACATCCATGCTAATCCTCCTCTTTTTGCTGAGGAAGACCAGCTCTGAGCTAACATCTGTTGCCAATCCTCCTCCTTTTTTTTCCCCAAAGCCCCAGTAGATAGTTGTATGACATAGTTGCACATCCTTCTAGTTGCTGTATGTGGGACACGGCCTCAGCAGGGCCGGAGAAGCGGTGCATCGGTGCGCGCCCGGGATCCGAACCTGGGCCGCCAGTAGCGGAGCGTGCGCACTTAACCGCTAAGCCACGGGGCCGGCCCAAGAGTATAAAAAATTTTAAGGCTTTTGGTTCCTATTGTGAAACTGCCTTCCAAAAAGCTCTATTAGTTCATATTTCTCACCTTAGGCTTTGAAAGCACTCGATAGACTTTTTCCTTTGTCTTCAAATTACAAAAGTAATATCCCCAAAATTGAAACAGATGGATATGTGCTCCCCTCCCAGACATACTCACACATTCCACTTCCTAGAGGTGTAACCACTGTTAATAGTCTGTATATTCTTCCAAAACATGAACACACTGGAACAGCCAAGATGTTGCATGTTTCTCTACTCATGCTGGTTCCCCTTTTCTACTCTCTGCCCAGGTAGAACTCATTAATCCTTTGATGCCTGTCTCCTCCATCATTTATTCCTCCAATTCTACTTTTGACGCTTAGAGTGAAGAATTCTTGGATCAGTAAATGAATTGTCCTGTTTCCTGGAACATCCTCTCTCCCCTATCAGGTTTCTTGAGGGCAGGTACTGGTGAAAACGACCGTTTGTACTGTGCCTAGCATAGAGTAGGACACTCAGGTCTCAGTATAGACAACCTGAGTAGGGGCTACCAGGCCTGCATCAACTCTGACTCAGATGTTCCTAGAAGTCCTCAAGTCTCCTTAGTTTTTGAGTGTTTAACTGAAGAAAAGGGGATTCCTAGCAGGAGTTGGGGGACTTTCCCAGAGGTTGGGGGTGGGAATTGAGGTGCACAAGCCTGGCTTCTGGCTGACTGGCAGCTCTACAGTTAAAGAGGGTGGCCTGTGGAGGAAGGTGTGCTTGGGTCCTGCTGTGGCGCTGCTCTTCACCAGCTATGTGACCTTGAGCAAGTTACCTGACCTGAGTGGTTGTGAAGATTGGTTAGGTAATGTGTATAATAATGTCCAGAGCACCGTCATCTTGCACGTGGTCAGCTCTCCATAAACATGAGCTGCTGCTATTGTATTGATCTGGACTTCTCCAAGAAAAGAGGGCACATTGAGAGGTAGACTCCCCAACATACTTATATACCAAAGGCAACCAGAGCCCCCCAACAGACCCCCAGTACTGATCCAGCTTATTTCAGCACAGACCTCCACTCTACTGCAACCATCAGCATGTTTAATGTGCCCCCCCTGTGGCACTATCCCCTGTCCCCTCTGAGGTTCTCATGCCATGGGCTCTGACTCGATACAAGCACGTGAAACGGGGATGGCCCCAGTTGCTTAGAATCTGGATCTTCACCTTGGGAAAGGCAGCTGGGGGGTCATTCTGGGGAGACAAATGGATAATGCCAAGACCTGCTCTCCCAAGGGCTGTCTTCCTCCCCAGTCTTCCCTCACTGTCCCACTCCCTTAGCACCCTCACCCCCAGAGATAAACACACCTGTAGGTGGAAAGTCTGAATCTCAGATTTCTCCACGTCGAAGGTGAATTTCCCCAAGAAAACCTCAGTCTTGTCATCAACTTGGAGGCCCTGGTAGGTGAAGAGTGAGGGGAGGAACAGTGAGGCACAGGTGGAGAGAGAAAGCAACTTTGTTGAGAACCTACTATGTGTTCAATAGCTGTATGCATGCTCTCATTTATTTTTTGGTGTTAGGATAGTGTAGTGTGGAATGTGGGCTCAAAGAAACTAGGTTGCGAGTTTTAATCTGGCCAATTGTTAGCTGTGTGACCTTGGGCAAGTAATGTCCCCTTGGTGAGCATTACTTTCCTCATCTTGAAGGGGGAGATAATAGCACTTCATAGATTGTGTGGAAGGGAGGAGATAATCCATGTAAAGTACTTGGCACAGGAAACGCTCAATAAGCCATAACTAATATTTGGATATAGTTATAATTTATAACCTATAGCAGTCCTGAGAGGCAAGTGCGAGATATCCATTTTATAGATGAGCAAGGGAAGACTCAGATAGTGGCACCGGTTTTCATGACTACCTGCTGCTTTCTAGGCAAAATCCCCCACGTCCTTGGGCCTCAGCCCCACTCACATAGACTGCGAAGTCGCGGGGAGCGCTGTTGGCTCCCCTGGTGTGGGCCACACTGGGCGGTGGGTGCTGCAGGGTGATGTCGCTCAGCTGCACACGACCCGGCAGTCGGATCACCACCTGGCCCTGGTCGCCCTCAAAAGCCCAGCAATTCCCAGGGAACACATCTGGCTGCAGGCGGGCGGGGCAGATAGACCTTCAGAACCGGAGGACCGACTGACGGTGGCCCTTCCTCAGCCTGGGCATTGGTTCAGGGAGGCCTTGCCCTCGGCTCGACTCCATCATTGGCCCCACCCAGTCCTCCACCCCCAGGCCGGGGCCCTGCCCAGCCACATCCCGCCCAGAGCCCCAGTCCCTAGCACTGCCAGGTCTCTCCTTAAGCTTAATGCCGTTCTTGGCGTCGCCCAGAGCCTCACCAAAGCCAAGCCAGGCCCCGCCTCCAGCCGGGCCCGTCCTTAGCCTAGCAGGGCCCCGCCTAGCGCCACTCGCTCCACCTCCTAGGAGCTGTTGGGTCCTTTCCCCAGCGTCCTGCCCCTGGGATTTAAGTTCCAGGCCCACCTCCAGGATAACCGTGGGCGGCCGCGCGTAGTTCCAGAAACTGAAGCGATTCCAGAAGTAGGCGGTGTTCGCGTCCTCGTAGTCGTGGGATGTCTTCTCTAGGTCGATGGAGGCTCCTGGAGCAGGGGGAAGCAACCACTCAGCTGACTGACAGCTGGGGAAGGGTCTGTCTGAGGTCAGTCTCCCTGGGCTGGCCATGTGCATAGGTCTGTCTGTGTCAATGTCTCCGTCTCTCTGTGTCTCTGAATCTCTTACCCACAGAGCTCAGCGCATAGTCGGGTTTCTGCACAAAGTCCTCATTCAGCCTCTGGAATACGAGCTTGGCCACCCTCTGAAAGGAGAGTGGGCGAGGCCTGGAGTGACGGGGCTTGCGCGTCGATTTATAGGGGGACAAAGTTCTCTGGGAACTAGGCTCTCTGGGATGGACATTGTGGGCCCCGGGAGAAATCCCTAAGTGAGGGCTCTAGGGCAGGGCTTTAAGGCTCAGGACACAGGGAACTGGTCTCGGCAAGTTTCCAAGGTGGCCGGAGACTGTGGAGTGGGCGGAGCCACGGGGGCCAGGCTCCCGAGGCTAGGCTCCCAAACCCCTATGGGGCCCAACTCTGCGAACAGGGTGCAGCTGAGTGGCTCACCTCGCTGTTGGCTGCGCGAACGCTGGACACCTCCTTGTGGAGTTTATCCAGCTCAGCCTGGAGCTGCTGCAGCTGCTGCCCCTGGGAGCGCACGCGCTCGTGGTACTCGCTGCAGGCGGGAGTTTGGCACGGTGCAGTTGGCCCATCCTCCCCCTGGACACTTCCCATAAGGCCCACCACAGAAGCACCGTTGAGCCCTCCAATTCCCCACCCCAGGTGCACTCTTTCACCTTAGACTCAGCATCTCCTTAGGTTCCTATTGGGGAAGGGAGAGACAAAATACAGCGCTGCTCACCTCCCACCTACCCAGAGCAGCCAGACTCAAAGTGTCTTCTTTTTGAGGACTGTCCTCCTTCCCTGACCTCCCAGGACCACTCAGAGACCCTCAAGCACCTCTGGGCACAATCCCTCAGAAATCTGTTTATATCCAGCCCTTCCTTAGGATTATAGCCTCCAGCACTGCCTCCCTCCCAGCAGCCCAGGTGAACCCCACAGGTGTATAACCTGCCAACCACCACCCAGGTATACAGTCTCCCGGACTCACATTCTCTGCAGGAGGGACCAGGTACAGGAGTCCCCACCAGAGTGCTGGAGAAAGATGGGAGTGGTCTCAGGGGAAGGGAAGGGGAGGTTTCCCTGGCATAAAGGGACAGTGAGGAGAGAAGAGGCTTGAGGGGGTTGAGTCTGAGGGGGGACTAGAGGGCCCTGTAAGGGACTATGAGGAGCCGAAGGAGCTTGAGTGGGCTGAAGGGTTTAGGAGAAAATGTGCTGGGTTTGTCTTCAAAGCATCCAGGGCTGGGACCCCAAGGAATTCACCCCCCCCTCACCTGCCAGAAAGAGGCTCAGCAGTGACACGGCCGTGAGCAGGAAGCGGGTGGAACAGACTTCCCTGAAGAACCGGAGGGAGGCTGAGGCCCTGAGACTCTAGTGAACCCCGCAGCCCCCACCCACCCCAGGGACCTAAACCCAGCTCCTGTGAACACAAGTCAACTGGGTCTGAATTGGCTCGAGCTTCAGCCAGGTCCGGCCCTGCGCCCCACCCCCTCCAAAGAGCAGCCCGTGGGGCTCCCCCTTCCCTCCCTCTGACCTGTACACACCGACCAGCACGTCTCCTACCAGGGATAACAACACGCTCAGCACCTGGAAGAGTAGGCCTGAGGAGAGGAGAGGGGGCTCAACGACTACAGCTTAGAGACGGGGGAGACGAAGAGGGGCTCAGAGGACGTGGTGTTCGAGGTTCACAAGGGGCTCAGGAAAGGGCTTCAGGGAAGGGCACAGGGCTCAGGAAGAGAGGGGTGGGCTACGAGAATAGGTGGGGGCCAGAAGAATGAGCTGAGGTTCAGAGAACGTGGATCGGGCTCAGGGAAGGAGCTGGAGACTCAGACATGGGCCGGGGGCTCAAAGATGAGAACTGGAATTCGCAGAGGGGAGCTGGAGGGTCAGAAGGAATCCAGGCTGGCCTGGCGCGTACTCAGGAAGCTCTTGGACACTCGCGGAGAAGGCATCTCCTGTCTCAGATCCAGGGTCGAGAGAAGGTCGAGCTGCTCCTCAGAGACAACGGGAGAGCCAGCCGGTTCTGCGGGAGCCCAGGGGCTCCATTGGGGCCTTGCGCACCGCAAGCCCACTCTTTCCCCGGGACCTGGCCGCAGGCTCTCCAGCCCAGAAGCGGGGCAGGCTCTCACATGCTTTGGTCCCACGGCATTCCCTTAGGTCTCTGTCAGCATTCTGAAGCCCCGACCCTCAAGGATGCTCAGTCACGACTTTGGTCCTACCCCCAAAAGGAGGCCCCGCCCCTAGCCTTAAGTCTTGGGGCGGCCCCAATTCCCTGGTAGCCACTCACGCTAACTCCGGGGCCGCGCCTCCTCACTGGTGCCCATTCTCAGGATTTTCCCCGCCCTTTCCTAGGGTCGTCCATCATACCGAGGCCCCGCCCCTTAGGGGATCGTATTTGGTGCTTTTCCTCTTCACCCTACAGGCCCCACCCCTTGGGAGGTGCCCAGATATAGTTTTATCCCGGTTCCGCGCCAAGCCCCCCCTGAGGCCCCGCCCCCTCCCTCGACTCACCCGGGGTCGACCCCGCCCGCACCCGAGGCCCCGCCCCTCACGGTTGCCGCGCCACAGGCGGTCCGCCCATCGTGGCTCCGAGGCGGCGGCTTCTGCCGAGAGCTTCCAGCCCATTTGGTTCCTCCGGACACTCCTGCGCTCAAGGCAGGCTCACCGCAGCTCGAGCCCCGGGCTCTTCTGCCCTTGGGCTCCCCGGGCCCCGGCCCAGCTGACTGGTGCCCGCTGCTGTCCCCCGAGGTGACGCTCACTGAGCTGTTGCTGTTGTCGCTGTAAAAGTTGGGCGTGTGCTTGTGCGGGGACGCGACTGAGCCCGGGCGGGGGCTCCGCCGCATCCTGACCCCGGGCCGCCCCCTCACGGACGCCAAAGTAGCCGCCGCAGCCGCCAAGGCCCTGGGCCCTCGCTCAGCCGGTGCGCGCCGCCGGGACCCTGAGTGCAGCCGGCGGGCCCAGCGGCCTGACCCAACCCTCTCTGCCGTATCTGGGCCGGCTGCTGACGTCACAGAGGAGACCAAGGTCTCGGCAGAACGCCCTGACAGGGCGTCACAGAGCTAGTCGTGACGTCACTGGGAGCCATGGCAGTCTCTCATTCTTTCTCATGTTAAGGCAAGCAATGACATCAAGCACTTCCCAGAATACCCTATCTAAAATTGCGCTCGGCTAAAAGAATTTTTATCCCCCTTGCTTTGTTTTTCTCCTCAGCACTTAACCGCTAGCACGCTATACATTTTGTTTCTTCGTTGCCTGTCACTCCCCCGCTAGAACGTAAATTTTATGAAGGCAGAGGTATTTGTTTTGTTCACTACTGTACCCTACAGCACCTAGATAGGCCTGGCATGTAGTAGGTACTCAAATATTTGTGAATGAATAAATGTTAAGGAAGGGGCATGGAGTCACCCAGGGCACTTCTAAATAAACATTTAGCCTTCTTTGCTCTGCAAACCCTTCAGGCCCCTCCTCTCATGCTAGTCATCAAGCCAGAAAATCTGAGAGTCCCCCTCCCAAACCCATGTTCACCTGGGATCTATGCGGTGAGAATTAAGGACCATAACCACACTCAGACCAACCATCTGAGTCACCGAGAACAGAATGAGGAATCACAGATGGTCACAGCCAAGAGACTAGAGGTTCCCAGACTCTTGCTGTGCAACAGAATACCAGTGCAGCTTATAGAAATTCAGGTTCCCGGGCACACCTTGAGATTCTACTTCAGTATTTCTGGAGTGGGCACAGGAATGTGCATTTCTAACAACCACATGTGTGATCCTGATTAAGGACCACACTTTGAAAAGCAATGCAGTGCATCCTGTGCACATTACACAGCTAGGCAAACAGGTCCAGAAAGGGGAAAGGACTTTCCTGAGACCACTCAGTGCTTAATGGAGATTAGAATTCCAAAATCCTGCCCTCAAGCCCAGTACTCTTACTGCTACATCCCTTCTTCTTGGGAATGTTAGGAAGTGGAAGTGGCAGTTCTTAGAGGGGTTGAGAGAACCTGCCAGGCTGTGTTCCACCCAGAGGGGAGGTGTCCGTGTTAGGTTCCAGTGGGATGGCATCAATTCCTTGCTTGATTAGATGCCACAGAGCTCAGGGGAGTGATGAGGGTGGGGGAGGGGTAGGCAAAGGCACTGCAGGCTAAGAATTCTGGTCTCCACACCCCCCCGCCCTCCTTTGGGTCTCAGTGTCCCCATCTGTCAAATGGGGAGGTGAAGCCCTGCCCCAACATCTAGGGGCCTTAGGATCTAACCTGGACCTTGCTTAGAAACAGAACCTATGCCTCTCATCTGGTGTTTTGTAGACCCTAAAACTCACTTGAGCACCTAACACCTGGGAAATAGGTAGAACAGGACTTTCCAATCCCAGTATTGAGATTGAGAAGCTGAAGCATAAGGAAGGACCATGTCTGGCTCAAGGCCACACAGCGAGACTCAGCTCCTCTGACAGTCTAATCTTATCTGCTGCTGCTGCCCGATACATTCCTGGTACCCAAGCCAAACTGAACAAATCACAGGTCCCAGAACACACCCTGACTTCCTTCCCACTGCCTGAATGTCCGTCTCTGCTTGACTCCTGTCATCAAAGCCCATTTTAAGCACTTTCTCCTCAGGGAAGCCTTCTGGTCTCCCTGCCCTGAGGTCCCCAGCCCTGACCCTTTCCTGCTCTGATGAGGACTGCAGTCTTTCTAGGCTTTGTTTGGTGTTGGAGTCCATGAAGCTACGGGAAGACAGAGAACATGTCTGATTTGCCTCTGTAGCTGCACATCCCGCCCCCCCAGGGTGGCATAGCACAACTCCTGCACATAGGAGGTGTCATTAAATAGAATAATTAAGTGGATGGCCATGAAATGCAATCAACACATAGTTACTGTCACCCATGGGTTCACACTGGGAGATACGTTCATTCTTTCATTCAATAAAAGTACTGCACACCTATTTAAGGGTTATTAACCTAAGCTAGGAGCTCTATGTCCAGAAAAATGCACTTGTGCTCAATATTTTACAGTTTCAAGTGTTTGCAGACTCCCTGGAGGCCATCTATAGTTCCACTAATAAGACCCCAAGTTAAGGACCTCTGGCTTCTGGTTAAGAAGTGTTTTGAACACCTGCTATGTGCAAACTAGGGACACATATTCGATCACTAATACAAATGTGTTGAGTGCCTACAGCACTAATGCTGGGGGCTAGGGGACCCATTTATTAATCTATCCCTTTATTCAGCCAATGTCTTGAGGGTCTCTCATGTACCAAACCCTGAGCTGGGCATTGAGGACAAAGGTGAACAAGGAACAACAGGAGGTCCATGCCCTTGAGGCCTCATAGGCTAGCAGGGAGCAGACTAGTGTCCTGTCCTCTCCCCTTGCCTCCATCCCTACTCTGTCTCAGCTTCTACCCCACAAGGATGCAGGATAGAGGCTGAAGCTGGTGCAGACAGGGAGAATTGAGCTGACACAGGAACCTTACCCCCATCTCTCAGTCTTCCTGCTCGCTCCCTACCCATGATCCCCAGGCCTGCCACCTGTGTGTTTGACTAAAGGGCAGGGATTGCTGAACCTGCTGAGTGAGTCCAGTGAGTCAGAGGCGACTCAGGTGGGCAAGAGGGCAGGCAGGCAGAGGGAGAGCCAGTGGCCCTGGGACAATGGCTCTGACCGTGTGTGTACGGCGACTGACAGGGCTGCCGGGCAGCCATGACCGACAAGTGAGGCTCAGCTTTCGAGGTGAGGCTTGCTGGGGTGCTCTAAGGATTTTTGGAACTGGGATTCTCTGGTTCTTCCATTCTCTAGGTCCCCAATCTCATCCCTAGGCATCTCTATGGCCTGTCTCCTTTCTCCCCCAGCCCAATATCTCCAACTCTCTGCCTCCTTCCCTTCCCATTTTCTGCCTTTCTTTAAGGGTAAGTCCAGGGGGATTGGACTCCAGGCCAAGGGCAAGGGGTAATTATTTTTTTCTGGGGAGAGTCTGATAAATGACTAGTTTCAATTCTAAGCAGGCTTTACCCAGAAAACAAGGAGAATTCACTGTGGTCAAGAAGCAGATATTGGTGAGGTCAGTGGGGTTGGGTCCTAGATGGGGAGAAGCTGATCTGTGCCTCACCTAAGACCATCCTGGGGTTGGGGGGCTCATTCCTGGGTTTTGGGAGGTGTAGTCTCAGGAGGTGGGGTCAGTCTCAGGTTTGAGAAGTCAGACCTAGTTTGGGACAATTCAGAGTCAAGACTAGGGGGGTTTAGTTCTTGATTGGTAGTTAGCCCCAGATCAGCCCTGGTTTGGAGTAAATCCCCTGGGGGTTGGTTCCAGGTTTGGGAGATCACTCATAGAGTTAGCTCCACGTTGGGAGGGTTGGCTCCTGTTTCAGGGCTGGGAATAGGCTCTGGATTGGGGGTCAGGGTCAGCCCAGCACTGGGTGTCACAAGGTTCCTCCTATCCCCAGCTCTTCCGTTGGCCACATTATGGGGCTCCACTGGCTGGGGAGACTGTCTGTGCAGGTGGTCAACTGCAGCCGTGTGTTCAGCCCCAGGTAAGTAGGCCTGGGGGAGCCAAGGATGCAGGTAGGGCTGGGGGGTGGCTTGGGGCCAGTCCCCTGGGTCACCCTTCTGCTCCATGCCACACCCCCAGGTCTCTGGGGACCCTGGTGATCTCCCTGCAGCAGCTACAGAGTGCCGGGCATTTGGTGGTGCGGGAGGCCCTAGTGGCTGAGAATCTGTGAGTGTCCCCGGTGAGTCCCACCAGCCTCCAGCCTGCCACCCCCAAGCCTGAGAGTCCCTCTAGATAGACGGTTCCTTTCCTCAGAGGGGAAAGCCCAGACCCAGACAGGAGTGGTAACAAGGCTCCCAAGCCAGGGCTCCTTTCATTGCAGCCCCTGCTGACGTCCCACATGGGCCAAGAACCAGGTTCAGCTCTGAGGGCTCTGAGGGCAAGGGGTGTGGCAATGGGGGAAGGAAAGGAGTTCTGTGCTGCTCCCTGACCCTGCACCAGCCTCAATTCTTGTGGGAGACAAAGATGAACCTGGCTGGATTTTCCTGGTGCTTCATAGAGGGTCAGTATGGCCTGGTAGAAATGGACCTGGGTTCAAATCTCAGATCCACCATTTCCTAGCTGAGAACTTGGACAAGTTATTTAGCGTCTCCAGGCCATTTCCTCACTTATATTATGTGGAGTCATACAAAATGAGTGCTTTTCATTCAGTCTGTCACCATTTGTTGAGCCCTGATTATAAGCCAAGTGCTGTGCTGAGCAATGAGGACTGAGTGGTGAGCAAAACCAGATAAGAATTTGCTCTCTTAGAGCTCCATATCTAAAGAAAGAGGCAAACATTTAACAAATATTCATACAAATAAATGTAAAATTGCCACTGACAGGTGTTACAAAAGAGGTGGTAGGGGGCTGGGAGAGGGTATAACAGAGAGATATGACCTATTTGGGCATCAGAAAAGGTTCCCTAAGAAAGTAGTGCTTAAGCTTGGAATTGAAGGGTGATAGGAGTTAACTATGTGAGAGGGGAGAAGTTCCAGGCATAAGAACCAGCATATGCAAAAGTCCAGTGCCCTGAGAGAGCATAACTGGGGTGCTGGGCAGGAGCAGACCCCAACTAAGATGGGGCTGGAAAGGTTGGCAGGGGCCAGACCATGCAGAGCTGTGAAGGCCACAGTAATGGATTTCCAAGAGCAATGAGAGAATTTTGGAGTCGTGTATGGCCCCTACAAGAGGTAAGTTGCACATGGCAGGTTCTTAACAGGTTATGAGTAGTTAACATCATTAGAGAGGAACCACAAGTTACCACAGATGCAGGCCAGGAGGGTCTCTGTTTATAGGTGGAGTAACAGGCATTGTCCTTATGCTTCTCTCAGCCCCAGGACAGTTTGAGGGGTCCTAAGGCACACTGTGTATCTGGTTTCAGGTCCAGGTGGAGCTTGAACTGAAGTACCAGCCCCCAGAGGGTGCAACTGGAGCCTGGGCGGAAGAGGACTTTGGGGCATCCATCCGGGACAGGTAACCCCCCCCACCAACCTAAGCAAGGCCTTGTGGTCCCAGCCCAGGGAGGCTTTGGGAAGGGAAAAGTGGTACTCAGTTCTACTCTGGATCTCCTGGACATAGTGACCCTGGACTAATGCTGCCCATGTTGCAGCTCTGTGGTCAGGCCTGGCCCTCACACTCCTTTTACTTCTCCTTCTCCCAGCTCAGAGCTGATCATCCCCAATGTGGGTTTCCAGGAGCTGGAGTAAGTATGTGGGGATGACCTGGGGTCACTGGGTCAGTCTTGAGATTAGGAGCCAGTGATGTGGAGTCAGTCTTTGGGTCTGGGATCAGTACTGGATCAATTCCAGGGTGAGAAGTCACTCCTAGAATCAGGGGTCAGTTCTGAAATTAGAGAGTTCCCAGATTAGCAGTCAGTCCTGGGATCAGTGGGGTCAGTCAAAGGTTCGGGGGTCAGTCCTAGGGTCAGGGAAGTTAAGGGATGCCTAAAGATGGGTGAGAGTTCCCAGACATGTCCCTTGAGAGCCTTTCTTATCAGGCCTGGGGAGGCCCGGCTGGAGCGCCGGGCAGCAGCATTGGGCCGCAGGCTAGCTCAAGGCCTAAGTCAGCAGGATGATGAAGACAATGAGCTGGAGCTGGAGGACGAGCCTGATGTGGAGCTTTCCGGCGTAGTGTTCAGCCCCCTCAAGAGGTAACTTGTACCCACTGCACACTTGCTCCCACACTCCACCAGTGTGTCAATCTCACTCAGTCACACATGTAGGCCCTTGCCCATCCACTCTCACAAACACACAGTCGCAGGGTATGGGTAATGAGTGGATGTCCTGGGGTCAAGGGTCACTCAGTCCTAGGTATAGACACTGTCACATTCACACACACAGTTACACTGGCTCACATACAGCTTCTGGAACCCTTGTAGGTGTTGGAAGTGTGATGAGGGCAAGGAATTCTGTCTCTTTTGCTCACTGCAGTGTCCTAGTGCCTAAAAGAGTAGGTTTGGCACACAGTAGGTGCTCCATAAATCTTTGCTGCATGAATGAATGGTTTTAGGGCTCCAGGAATGAGTCAAATTCTGGGTGTAGGGTTGAGATAGAGGCAAACCAAGACAGAAGTACTCAGAATCCAAAAGTTCAGAGGAAGAAGAGATCTTATCCCCAGCACAAAGCAAGAGTGTGTGTGTGGTGGAGGGAAGAAGTGAAGTGAGAGCTGACCTTAACCCTCTCTGCAGCCGAGCACGGGGCCTGGCTCGTGGGGATCCCTTCCAGGTGTCCAGAACCCGGGACTTCCAGGTAAGCTCTTCCCTCCAGGCCCTAACTCTTGGGGAATACCACCTGCCCTCCACACGTTCCTCCCTCCTATCTTGGCAGCCGTGGCTTCCTCTTCTCCTCCTTCCGCACCCTTCAGGTGGGGGTCACGGTGCTGGAGGCCCAGAAGCTGGTGGGAGTCAACATTAACCCCTATGTGGCCGTGCGTGTTGGGGAGCAGCGCCGAGTGACCGCCACACAGCACGGGACCAACTGCCCCTTCTACAACGAGGTGTGTGCGACCACGGAAGAGGGGGGGCCTGAGAGGATGAGCCGGACCCGGGATAAGAACTGTCCGCGGAGGGGCCTGGCCTAGGTGGAAATAAGCCAGCTGCGGCGGAGGCTGAGGGCCGTCTAGGGAAATGGTGTAAAGAGGCACCGTCCCAGGGCAAGGAGGGCGTTCCCTTTGCAAGAGGCAGAGGCCAGCGGGCGTGAGCCCTTCACAGACAACCGTCTCTCACGTCTCTTGTTTCCCCACTTCAACCCAGTACTTCTTGTTCGAATTTCATGAGACCCAGCTTCACCTCCAAGACTTGCTGCTGGAGATCACGGTGAGGCGGTAGGGTGAGAGGTTTCCGACAGAGAAGGGGAGATGCCCAAGCTCCAGGACTAACGCCACCTTCCCCCAGGCTTTTCATTCGCAGACCCTCCCCTTTATGGCCGCCCGGATAGGCACCTTCAGGACGGACCTGGGCATTATCTTCGACCAGCCAGGTACCGAGCCCTCCCCTCATTGAGATTCATCCGCACCGACAAGGGAAACTCACCTCCTGGGCACTGATCCCTATGTGCTAACTTGTGAGCCCGCACTCTCTTCCGAAGGCTGACCTCCACGCACTCCCGCTCCTCCCTTCTGGGCTGGACATGAACTCCGGCCATTGTCCAACACTCAGATCCCAGCCCCACGACCGCGCCGCGCATCGCGCCGATCTCCGCTGACACTCGGCCTGCCCCTCTACCTGCAGATGGCCACTTCTACCAGAAATGGGCTCCGCTGCACGACCCTCGGGACACTCGCTCCGGGACCAAGGGCTTCGTCAAGGTCACTTTGTCCGTGAAGGCGCGCGGGGACCTGCCCCCTCCGCTGCCACCCCCGAGCCCGTGGCACAGTTCGGACATCGAGAAGTGAGCTGGAGAGGGGTGGGTAGGGGAGGGTAGGACTGGGCGTGGCCTCCGGGACGCAGAGACGGGGAGGGGCCGAGACTCGGGCTTCTCAGCCCCTCAGTGCCCCCTGCCCTAGGAACTTGCTCCTGCCGCGGGGGGTGCCGGCCCACAGGCCGTGGGCGCGGCTGCGAGTACGCGTGTACCGCGCGGAGGGGCTTCCCGCGCTGCGCCCCAGCCTGCTGGGCAGCCTGGCCCGTGCCCTGCAAGATCGGCGCGTGCTCCTGGACCCCTACGTGCGGGTGTCTTTCCTGGGGCAGCAGGTAAGTCCCTCCAGTCCCCGCCCTGCCGAGGCGCAGGCTCTGGTCCCGTGCTGACCCCTCTCCGCCTGCCTTCACCACCGCGCTCAGGGCGAGACGTCCGTACGCGGGGGAGGCGGCGGCGCCCGAGTGGAACGAGCAGCTGAGCTTCGTGGAGCTCTTCCCGCCGCTGACACGCGGCCTACGTCTGCAGCTGCGGGACGACGCGCCCCTGGTGGATATGGCCCTCGCCACGCACGTGCTGGACCTGAGGCAGATCTCACACCCGGGCCGCGCGGGTGAGCGCATCTGGCCGACGCGTGCTGCCCCCGCCTGGGCCCTATCGGCGGTGGTCCCGTCCCCGACAGCAAACTCGATCTTCGCGATCCCACTCTGCTTAGAAAGTCGGGTCCACCCCACATAACAACCTGTACACCAAGCCGGCCCCTCCCTTCGGAGCCTCACCTGTCGCCCCCAGACTGCAAACCCCACCCTCGGTTTGGCTCCGTTGACAAAATCCTAACTACAGCTGCAAATCCAGTAACCACTCCAGCCCGGTTCTCCCTACAGATTTACACGTACGGAAACAAGCCCAGTCCACATCCGTTTACCCCAGTCCGTTATGGGATCACCCGTAGCTTCGCCCCAATCCTGACTCCACCTCCAGGGCTCTGGCTCCGCCCCTAGAGCCTTCGCTCCATCTGTCTGCAGCGCCTTTGGGAGCCGAGCTGGTTAGAAGTGCTCCCAGGTCGTGGTCCACAGCTGTCCGTCCACAGCTGTTCGCAGACTTCCCTCCCAGAGCGGCCGAGGCCCCCCGCCCGAACTTGCAGTAAATGAGGGTGTGGTGCATAAACTGACCTAGTACCCACCTGCCCCATGCTCCCCTCCAAAATACTGTTCTTCTCCCTCACAGCGGGGTTTAACCCCACCTTCGGCCCGGCCTGGGTGCCTCTCTATGGCTCGCTCCCCAGCGAGGGGCTCCGGGATGGTCTTCAAAGTCTCAATGAAGGCCTTGGCCAAGGCATTTGGTTCCGCGGCCGCCTGCTGGTGGCTGTGTCCATGGAGGTGTTGGAGGCGAGAGCTGAACCTGAGCCTACCCAGACCCCACAGGGGTCGAGGTTGCCCCGGCTCATTGGAAAGAAGAAAAAAGCCAGGCGAGGCCAGACTCCAACGGGGATTCCACAGCGCGGGGATGCCAGCTCCAGTGCTGATGGGCCCGAGATTCCTAGTGCCATGGAGGTGGAGGTGGAGGAGTTGCTGCCGCTGCCAGAGGTGGGGGCTGGGGTTTAACAAAGGGGCGGGGCCCCTCTCAGCTCTGGAGTGTGTAACCAGCTACCAGGCATTAAATACAGGAAGGGGTGGGGTGGGGTGGTGGTGACTCAATCTGGGGGCCTGGGTGAAGAATGCAGTGTGTGTACACATGTGCCGTTGTGTATATACACATGTGGGGGGAGGGGGGCTGACTAATCAGAGGTGGGCGGGAGGACTAAGCCCGGGATCTAATTGGGGCTGCAAGGGGCAGAAGGGAGGTAGGATACCTGCAGTGAATCTTCTAGGCCTTGGTTGAGTGTCTTATCTGTGGCCACTGTGGCCAAGCATAGTCTGCGCTGCAACCTGGGAGGGTGGGGGCTGACTCCAGCCTGACACACCTTTTCCAGAACTCCCTGGCACCCTGCGAAGATTTCCTGCTCTTCGGTGTGCTCTTCGAGGCCACCATGATTGACCCCACCCTGGCCTCCCAGCCCATCAGCTTTGAGATCTCCATTGGTGTGTGCCAATCCCCTGAGGGTCATGGGTTTGAGGGTGGGCACTTTTGTTCTGGACTTAGCCCCTTGGAATGGACAGTTGACCTTCAGTCAGGGGAGGGCCCTGACTTCTATTGAGGCAGAGGAGGTTGAGGGAGGGGTCAGGCCCTCAGCCTGGCACCCGCTGACACTTGCTCCTCCGAGCAGGTCGTGCAGGCCGCCAGGAGGAGCAAATGGGCCGAGGGTCCAGGGCCAAAGAGGGAGCAGAGGGTGCAGCGGGGGAGGCGCAGCCTCTGCTGGAGTCGGACGTGGGAGTCCGGCCGGTGGAGGAGGTGGAGCTGAGGACCCCTGCTCAGTGGCCTGAGCCTGTGGATGGCAGCGGGTGAGTGCTCCTGGTGGCTGGGAGGAGGGCGTTGAGAGATCCCCAGCGGCCCAGGACTGCCCCTTGCAGCCTCAGCTCCTCTCCGCTCGGCCCAGGCCATATCTGTGCTTGCCCCTGCATCACCGCAAGCCGTGCGTGCGCGTGTGGAGCCGCTGGGAGGATCACACGTGGCGCCTGCAGAGCAGTAACTGCGTGAGGAAGGTGACCCAGAGGCTGGTGAGAGCGAGGCGGGTGCCCACAGGTAGAGGCTGGGACATAAGAGTGTGGGGGAGACTGCAGCCTTTGAAGGGAGCTCTGGAGCAGGGCTAACAGGTGGAGCACCAGGGAGCCAGCACCTGGTTGGTGCAAGGCCTGAGGGTCAAAGAGCACAGCTTCTGGGTGAACTGAGGAGGCAGGAAATCATGGGATGTCAGAGATTCAGAACTGTCGGACCCAGGAAGGGGCCGAGTGAAGGACATGGGTAGAATTACTGGGGGCCCAACTCCACAGGCGTGGAGCCAGTAGAGGGCTAGAAAAACTGAACTCCGACCTGGATGGAGCCAAAGAAGGGAGGGGCCCAGAGGTGCTGTTGTGAGTGGGCGGGCCCTGGGGTGGGGGTGCCATCTAAAAGATGTCGGAGTCTGGGACCCTAATGACTCTGACCCTCTCGCCCGGTTGTGCAGGACCAAGGGCTGCAGGAGGCTGAGACTCTGCAGCGCAGGCCGGGGCCCGGCGCCTGCACTCGACTCAAGCAGGCGCTGGAAGAGCTGGTGGCTGGGAGCAGGTGAGCTGAGAGCCTGCGCCTCACTGCTGCCTATATCCGCGCCAACTTCAGAGTGAGGGAGACTCATGGGGGCTGTTTGGACCCAAGGGCAAGTAGAAGCTGCGGTTGCTCTGCACTTTACAGAAGAATGGGAAGGAGATTATTGTCCATATCGGAGGGAGCTTGATGGAAATTATTGGGGGATAGGCCACTGCCCTCCAATAAGCTTCCTTTCCTAGAGATTTATCCCTTTTCCCCTCTTATCAAATCTCCCTTGCCCCTTTCCTCCACACTCGTTCCAGCTAGTATCCTCCTCTCCTACTTCACGAAGAAAATAGAAACCTCACCTTCCTCTGTCCCATCTACCACCTTGCCAGCTTCTGTATCCATCTGCTCTCCTTCCTTCCTACGACAGAAAAGAAGTGTCCCTGTTCCCATAGCCACAGCTGTGATCTTGATTTCATTTTCTCTCACCTCCTGGAGGAATTAGCTCTGCAATTGTCCACTTTCTCTCCTGCAGCGTCAACTGGTCCCTAGTTACCAGGTCATTACTGTAACCACATAAATTTGTTCTAGTCACTTCCACCTTTGACCTTCACTGACCTAAATTCCATAACCTGCTTCAGGTACTTCAGTGTTCTTCTGATCCTATTCTTAAAAGAGTTGTTTGTCCATTTATTCAATAAATATTTATGACACTTACCATGCTGGACACTGTTTTAGGCACAGGAATAGCAGTGAAAAAGCATTCTTGCCCATAAAAATCCTTGAAATGTCCATTATGGTGGGGGGTAGGGGTGGGGGCTGGATGAAGACACAGATAATAAACATGTAAACAACAAGGTAAAAATATAAGAAGTACGATAAGGATAAGTGTTAGAGAGAAAATAAAGCAAGGAACTATTAGAGAGAGGTGTTGCCATTTTTGAAGGGGTAGCACGGAGAGGCCACTGTGAAGTTAACATGAAGATGATGGAGCAAGCCATGTCTATAAGGGTGTTCCAGGCAGAAGGGACAGCATATGCAAAGGCCCTGAGGTAAAGAATGTCTGACGTGTTTGAGGAAGAGCAAGGGAACCAGTGTGACTACAGCAGAGTGAGCAGAGTAGATGAGGCTGAAGGGTGTGAGGAGAAAGGAGGATGATGGTGGGGAGAGGCATGTAGGAGCCTCATAGGCCATTGTATTGGCCTTGGCTTCTTCTCTGAGTGAGATGAGGAGCCACTGAAGGTTTTTTTTTTTTTTTTGAGAGGAAGATCAGCCCTGAGCTAACATCCATACTAATCCTCCTCTTTTTGCTGAGGAAGACCGGCTCTGAGCTAACATCTATTGCCAATCCTCCTCCTTTCTTTTTTTTTTCTCCCCCAAAGCCCCAGTGGATAGCTGTATGTCGTAGCTGCACATCCTTCTAGTTGCTGTATGTGGGACACGGCCTCAGCATGGCCAGAGAAGCGGTGTGTCGGTGCGGGCCCCGGATCCGAACCCAGGCCGCCAGTAGCGGAGCGCGTGCACTTAACCGCTAAGCCACAGGGCTGGCCCAACCCACTGATCCTTTTTAAGGATAAGTTAGAGCCTATCTCTTCTCTTCTCAAAACCTTCAGTGAGGGGGGAGTCGGCGGGGGGCCGGCCCCGTGGCTTAGTGGTTAAGTACGCGCACTCCACTACTGGCGGCCCGGGTTCGGATCCGGGGTGCGCACGGACGCACCGCTTCCCTGGCCATGCTGAGGCTGCGTCCCACATACAGCAACTAGAAGGATGTGCAACTATGACATACAGCTATCCATTGGGGCTTTGGGGGGAAAAAAAAAAAAAAGAAAGGAGGAGGATTGGCAATAGATGTTAGCTCAGAGCCGGTCTTCCTCAGCAAAAAGAGGAGGATTAATATGGATGTTAGCTCAGGGCTGATCTTCCTCTAAAAAAAAAAAAAAAAAAGGATCAGTGGGGGAGGGATGGTATAAGAGAGGAAGCAGACAGATGACTACTTTGTAATAGTTCAGGTGACCAATAATGATGAGTTGAATCTGGGGAGGTTGCAGTGGACATAGAGTGACATGAATGGATTCAAGAGCAATTTTGGACTTTGGAGGTGACACTTCAGGACTTGCTAATGGATAGATATAGGGGATGAGGAAACGTGCAAAGAGTCCTGAAAGACTCCCATGATTTTGGCTTGCACACCTATGTAGATGGTGCTTTTTACTGAGCTATGGAAAACAAGAGAAGAAGGTCTGAAGGGAGTGAAGGGAATATCAGAAGTTCATTTTCGGACATGTGAACTTTGAAGTAGATGTCTATTAGACTTACAAATGGACATGTCTGCTAGGCAGTTAGCTACGTGAGTTGAATTCTGGGAAGAGTTCTAGGCTGGAAATGAAAATTTGGGAGCTGTCAATACGTAGATGGAACTGGATAAGATTATTTAGGGAGCACAGAAAAGAGAAATCTGAGGACCTGGAGAGCTCTAGCATTTGGAGGCAGGGTGGAAGAGGAGGACTCAGACAAGGGCCTAGTCATAGGTGGTCACTTTTCTGTTCTCATCTTACTCAACCTTTCAGTGTCAGTGGACATGGTTGACCTCACTCTCCTTCTTGAAATTTTCTGCTATTGACTTCCGTGCCTCTGGTTTTCCTTCTGTTTCCTTCTCATTCTCATCTCTTGCTGGCCATTCCTTCTCATCTCTTTTGCTGACTCCCTCTCTTCTTGACCTCTAAATGTTCCAAATGTTCATGGGTGTGTGTCCCAGGGCTTCATTATAAGGCTCTCTGCCTACATTCTTTCCATCTCCAAAAGAGCAACCACTTTTAATGCAATTTAATTCCTTGTTTGATTTCCCATACAGTGCAATTAAACTTTCCATTTTCACTTTACTGAAATTATTTTATTACTGGAATTATTCTTTGGCAGGGAAATTTCAGTGAAAGATTTGCCCATATTATATTTCACTATTTATAGCTTTGGGCAGTGTGGTTTTCTTTTGTGGCTACTATTTCAACCAGATCCAATTTCTCTGAATCCAATTTTGAGGATCTAAATCTTGCCAGGAAGATTTGATTCTCCTGTCAATTTTTAATCAATAGCAAATGTTAATAGATGCAGTTTTGACCCTTGTCAGTTTTATTTTATGCTAATTATTTCTACCAATAGAAGTCTTGGAGCAAAGAGCGTTAGTGTATGCTCTGGGGGCAGTATTAGATGAAAAATCCTTGGACTCATTTTCATTTCATATATTTTTGAAATTTTCCATAATAAAAACTTAGGAAATTGTTGGGAGTCAAAAAGGGCCCAAAATATCACATCTCAAAAATCATTTTACTTTTCCCAACAAATATTTTTTGAGCATCTATTAGGTGCCAGGCCCTGAGGATATAGTGGTAATCAGAATGAAGTCCTTGCCCTAGCTTACTATCTATTTAGACAGACAGATAAAGCAGAGTATAAGGATGGAGAGGGGCTGGCCCGGTGGCGCAAGCCGTTAAGTGCACGCGCTCCGCTGCGGCGGCCCGGGGTTCGCTGGTTCGGATCCCGGGCGCGCACCGACGCACTGTTTGGCAAGCCATGCTGTGGCGGCGTCCCATATAAAGTGGAGGAAGATGGGCACAGATGTTAGCCCAGGGCCGTCTTCCTCAGCAAAAAAAGAGGAGGATTGGCGGATGTTAGCACAGGGCTGATCTCCTCACAAAAAAAAAAAAAAAAACTCACACTACAGAATTAAAACACAAACATACATTAAAAAATAAATAAATAAATCTAGCCTAATCTATAAAAAAAAAAAAAAAGGATGGAGAAAGTGGCAAGGGCTGTTTAGATGAAGTGATCAGGGAAGGCCTTTGAAGAGGTAACATTTCAGCAGAGACCTGAATGAAGAATGGGAGTAAGCCATGCAAAGATCTAGGGGTAGAACGTTCTAGCAGAGGAAGCAGCTAATACAAAGGCCTTAATGTAATGGGCTTTGTGTGTTCATGGAGGACCAAAAAGGCCAGTGTGACTATAGGGTTGTGAAAGAGGGGGAGAGTAACATTTGATCAGGACAGGGAGATAAAGGGAGCCAGATCATGTAGAGCCTTTTAGGTAAGAGTGGAACTAGTAAGAGTAGCTAGGTGGCAGTTGCGATAATCCTAGGTGAGATATGATGGTGGCTTGGAGTAGGGTGATCCTGGAGAAGGAGAAAAGTGGTCAGATTCTGGATGTATTTTATAGGTAGAGCCTAAATAATATGCTGATGGATTCATGTGGAATGTGAGAGAAAGGACGAGCAGTGAAGGATAACTCTGACATTTTGGAGTAAAGCATGTTTTTTTTGGAGGAGGGGGTTCATTGGAACCCAAGGAACATGCACTTGGTTTGGGCATGTAATCTTTGACCTATCTTTAGTCAGTGTTGGAATTGTCAAGCATAAGGTCCATCTGAGTCTTTAACGTGCATATGAATCCCCGAGGGTATACACATGCAGTTTCTGACATAGCAGGTCTGGGGTGGGGCTGAGATTCTGCATTTTTTTTTTCCTGAGGAAGATCAGCCCTGAGCTAACATCCGTTGCCAATCCTCCTCATTTTTGCTGAGGAAGACTGGCCCTGGGCTAACATCCATGCCCATCTTCCTTTACTTTATATGGGATGCTGCCCCAGAATGGCTTGACAAGCGGTGCGTTGGTGCACACCCGGGATCCGAACCTGCGAACCCTCAGGCCGCTGAAGCGGAGCGCGCGCACTTAACCGCTCCACCACTGAGCTGGCCCCCATGAGATTCTGCGTTTTTAACTATGTGATACCAATGCTGTTGCTCGCACTTTGAGTAGCCAGGGCAGTAGAGGGTTAAATACTAGTGCATTCTAAGGCTCAAACGTGAGGCTGGCCTCAATGAATTTGGGCATGGTCCAAATACAGAAGCCATCCTTGACTGGGAAAGGGCACCTCTCTGAGAACATGTGAGGGAGTCTGGGTGTGAGGGCCTGCTCTGAGGAAGGTGGCTCCTAAGGGTCCGTGTTCCCTCCTTTGACTCCCACCTGCCACACCCGTCCCTGCTCACTACAGACAGTTTTGCCACGGTGCTGAGCGCAGAACAATGACCCGGCCTAATGCCCTGGATCGATGCCGAGGGAAACTGCTGGTGCATAGCCTGGTATGGTCTGGGGAAGGGGGAATCATTGGCACTTAGCTGGGGCTCTCCACTCACGTTCTCTTCCTGCCCTTCCAGAACCTGTTGGCAAAGCAAGGACTGCGGCTTCTACGGGGCCTGAGACAGGGCAATGTGCAAAAGAAGGTGGCACTGGCCAAGAAGCTCCTGGCAAAATTGCACTTCCTGGCCCAGGAGGTACTGCCTTGCCCACCCATTTCCCCACTCTGAATACCTTTCTCCTAAGTTTCCAGAGGCCTCTGGTCAGGGGTGACCTAACATTTGTCCTGTGGATTGAGCCAGACCGAGGGGTCTGTTGCTCTAGGCATCGGATCAGCTCCATTTAGAGCAGCTAATAGTGAAGATAAGTGTTCCAGGCCCAGCAGGGATGCAGGGAACATGAAGGATTTCTTTGGATGAAGATTTGAGAGTACATTTCCTTGGCATGACTTCCCTGGTCTGAAGCTCTGAACACAACATGCGTGAGTGGTGAAGGGAGTTCACATTTTTGGAATGCTTCCTCTGCTAAGTGTCTACATGTGTTATCTTGTGTGATCCTTCCAGCAACCTTGGGGAAGACATTACCCCATTTGACAGGTGCAGAAACTGGGGCTTAGAGAGGGAAGGTGACTGGTCCACCATGTCATAGATGGTTAAGTGGCAGAGCTGGAATTCAAAACCAGCTCTGCCTCATTCTGAAGCTCAGTGCTTCCCAAAGGCACAGAAAGTTTTGACCTCTGGGGCCGGTATGTCCTCAGGGTCAAACAGTGAGGAGTTGGATACTTGGTCTCAGACCTTGAACGACAAGTTGAAGTTTGGCAAGTGTGAAAGAATGAAGACCATGTGCAAAGGCACAGAATCAGGTAGGCCTGGGCAGCTGGAAGACAGAGTAGTAGGAGACGGGATAGAGACCTTATTATATTGAATTTTAGTGCAAAATTACTTTATTTATTTGGAATGAAAACCTCCTTTTGTTAGCTGACATTTAAAAACACTTTTTGACTTAAACATGCATCCTGAAATAATATAGTTTAGTTTTGCTATTTTTCAAACTTTATATAATACTGTTTATATTATTTTGGTCAATATTATATTTGTGAGATTTATCTGTATCATTGCATGTAGCTGTAATTTGTCCATTTTAATTGCTATGTAATATTCCACTGAATGACTATACTACAATTTGCTTATTCAGTCCACTGTTGATGGATACCTGTGTTGATCCCAAGGGATGGTGATTAGAAACGATGTTTCCAAGACCATTTTTGTACATGTCCTGGGGAACAAGTGCAAGAGTTTCTCTAGGGCAGTATTTCTCAAACTTTTTTGGTCTCAGGACTCCTTAACCCCCTAATAATTACTGGGGACCCCAAAGAGCTTTTGTTAATGTAGATTGTATCTATTGATATTTACCACTATCTAAACTAAAACTGAAAAATTTAAAAAACCTGAGAAATAAAAATGTATTTATTAATTAAAAAAACAATAGTAAACCCATTGCATGATAACATAAATAACATATTTTTATGAAAAATAGCTATATCCTCCACAACAAAAACTTTAGTGAGAAGAATGGCATTGCTTTACATTTTTTCAAATGTCTAGCGAAGAACTTTTTATACTCTGTTGTATTAAAATCCATCAGTCTATCTTGTACTTTGAATGGATCTATTATCCTTGCATGATTTTGAATCATCATACATAGGTCATTTGGAAATTTGGTTCACTGACTTATGTAGATCTTCCATATGTTGGCATATTTCATTATATAGTATTAAGACATCACATTCATTAATATTACTACCAATCTCATTAGAAAAACCTTTAAGTGTTGGGAAGCTGTCAGCTCACAGTGGCTGATACAAGAGATACAATTTTTCCAAAATTGTAATTTTCACTCGTTTTGTTTCTGACCTTAGAGGGAAGGCTTTCGTCCTTTCACTATTAAGTATGATATTAGCTATGGGTTTACATAAATGCCGTTTATCAGGTTGAGGAAGTTTTTTTCTATTCCTAGTTTTCTGAGTGTGTTTTTTTTTTTTTTTTTGGTGAGGAAGATCAGCCCTGAGCTAACATCCATGCCAATCCTCCTCTTTTTGCTGAGGAAGAGGGGCCCTGAGCTGACATCTGTGCCCATCTTCCTCCACTTTATGTGGGACGCGGCCTCAGCATGGCCTGACAAGTGGTGCGTCGGTGCGCGCCCGGGATCCGAACCCCGGGCCACCAGCAGCAGAGCGTGCGCACTTAACCACTACGCCAGGGGGCCAGCCCCTGAGTGTTTTTTTATGATGAAAGGATGTTGGATTTTGTCACATGCCTTTTCTGCATCAATTGAGATGATCATTTGGTTTTTTTCCTTTGTTCTGTTGATGTGGTGTTATTACATTGATTGATTTTCTTAGGTTGAACCAACATGGCATTCCTGAGATAAATTCCACTTGGTCATGGTATATAACCCTTTTTATATGCTGTTGGAGTCAGTTTGTTAATATTTTGTTCAAGACTTATTCATGAGGGATATATCTATATTCATAAAGGATATTATTCTGTAATTTTCTTTTCTTGTAATGTCTTTTAAAAAAATTATTTTATTGAGGTCCTATTGGTTTATAACATTGTGCAATTTCAGGTGTACGTTATTACATATCACTTTCTGTATAGATTGCATCTTGCTGTCCCCCAATAGTCTAGATTTTATCAGTCACCATACATATGTATCCCTTTACCCCTTTGACCTCCCCCCACCCCCTTTCCCTCTGGCAACCACTAATCTGTTCTTATCCATGTATTTGTTTGTCTTCCACATATGAGTGAAATCAAATGGTGTTTGTCTTTCTCCATCTGGCTTATTTCACTTAACATAATACCCTCAAGGTCCATCCATGTTGCAAATGGGACAATTTTGTCTTTTTTTATATCTGAGTAGTATTCCATTGTATATATATACCACATCTTCTTTATCCATTCATCAGTTGATGGACATTTGGCTTGCTTCCACACTTTGGCTATTGTGAATAATGCTGTAATGAACATAGTGGTGCATAAATCTCTTTGTATTGTTGATTTCATGTTCTTTAGATAAATACTCAGTAGTGGGACAGCTGGATTGTATGGTATTTCTATTTTTGATTTTTTGAGAAATCTTCTTACTGTTTTCCATAGTGGCTGCACCAGTTTGCATTCCCACCAGCAGTATACAAGGGTTCCCTTTTCTCCACATCCTCTCTAACATTTCTTATTTTTTGTCTTGTTAATTACAGCCATTCTGACGGATGTGAGGTGATATCTCATTGTAGTTTTGATTTGCATTTCCCTAATAATTAGTGATGATGAACATCTTTTCATGTGCCTGTTGGCCATCTGTACGTCTTCTCTGGAAAAATGTCTGTTCATATCTTCTGCCCAATTTTTTTTTTTTTTTGTGAGGAAGATTAGCCCTGATCTAACATCCGTGCTAATCCCCCTCTTTTTGCTGAGGGAGACCAGCTCTGAGCTAACATCTATTGCCAATCCTCCTCCTTTTTTTTCCCCCAAAGCCCCAGTAGATAGTTGTATGTCATAGTTGCACATCCTTCTGGTTGCTGTATGTGGGACGCGGCCTCAGCATGGCCAGAGAAGCGGTGCGTTGGTGTGCGCCCGGGATCCAAACCCAGGCCGCCAGTAGCGGAGCGCACACACTTAACCGCTAAGCCACGGGTCTTCCCATTTTTTGATTGAGTTTTTGTTGTTGTTGTTGAGTTGTATGAGTTCTTTATATAGTGTGGAAATTAACCCCTTGTGGGATATATGGTTTGCAAATATTTTCTCCCATTTGATGGGTTATCTTTTCATTTTGTTCATGGTTTCCTTTGCCTTGCAGGAGCTTTTTAGTCTGATGTAGTTACATTTGTTTATTTTTTCTTTTGTTTCCTTTGCCTGAGTAGACATGGTATTTGAAAAGATACTGTTAAGACCAATGTCAAAGAATGTACTGCTTATATTTTCTTCTAGGAGTTTTATAGTTTCAGGTCTTACATTCAAACCTTTAATCCATTTTGAGTTAATTTTTCTATATGGTGTAAGATAATGGTCTACTTTCATTTTTTTGCACATGGCTGTCCAGTTTTCCCAGCACCATTTATTGAAGAGACTTTCCTTTCTCCATTGTATGTTCTTAGCTCCTTTGTTGAAGCTTAGCTGTCCATAGATGTATGGTTTTATTTCTGGGCTTTCAATTGTGTTCCACTGACGTGTGTGTCTGTTTTTGTGCCAGTACCATGCTATTTTGATTACTATAGCTTTGTAGTATATTTTGAAGTCAGGGATTTTGATGCCTCCAGCTTTGTTCTTTTTCCTCAGGATTGCTTTGACTATTCAGGATCTTTTGTTGTTACATATAAATTTTAGGATTCTTTGTTCTATTTCCGTGAAGAAAGTCATTGGGATTCTGATTGGGATTGCATTGAATCTGTAGATTGCTTTTGGTAATATGGACATTTTAACTATGTTTATTCTTCCAATCCATGAGCATGGAATATCTTTCTATTTCTTTTATATCTTCTTTGATTTCTTTTAATAACATCTTGTAGTTTTTAGTGTAAGGGTCTTTCACTTCTTTTGTTAGATTTATTCCTAGATATTTTATTCTTTTTGTTGCGATTGTAAATGGGATTGTATTCTTGACTTCTCTTTCTGCTAGTTTGTTATTAGTGTATAGAAATGCAACTGATTTTTGTAAGTTGATTTTGTACCCTGAAACTTTGCTGTAGTTGTTGATTATTTCTAATAGTTTTCTATATTGGATTATATATATATATATATATAAATTTATATATATATAAAGAATCTATGGATTCTTTAGGGTTTTCTATATATAGAATCATGTTATCCACAAACAGTGAGAATTTCACTTCTTCCCTTCCAATTAGGATCCCTTATGTTTCTTTTTCTTGCTTAATTGCTCTGGCCCAAGCCTCCAGTACTGTGTTGAATAAGAGTGGCAAGAATGGGCACCCATGTCTTGTTCCTGTTCTCAGAGGGATGGCTTTCAGTATTTCACCGTTAAGTAGGATGTTGACTGGGGGTTTGTCATATATGGCCTTTATTATGTTGAGGTACTTTTCCTTCTATACCCATTTTATTGAGAATTTTTATTATAAATGGATGTTGGATCTTGTCAAATGCTTTCTCTGCATCTATTGAGATGATCATGTGATTTTAATTCCTCATTTTGTTAATGTGGTATATCACATTTATTGATCTGTGGATATTGAGCCATCCCTGCATCCTTGGTATAAATCCCACTTGATCATAGTGTATGATCCTTGTATTTTATTTGCTAATAACTTGTTGAGGATTTTTTCTTGTGATGTCTTTATCTGTCCTTGTTATCAGAGTAATGCTGGCTTCATAGAATGAGTTAGGAAGTGTTTCTTCCTTTTCTGTTTTTTGGAAGAGTTTGAGAAGGATTGGTGTTAATTATTCTTTTAAGTATTTGGTAGAATTCACCAGAGAAGTCATCTGGTCCTGGACTTCTCTTTGTTGGGAGGTTTTTGATTACTGATTCAATCTCTTTACTTGTTATAGGTCTGTTGAGATTTTCTATTTCTTCTTGAGTTAGTTTAGATAATTTGTGTGTTTCTAGGAATTTGACCATTTTCTAGGTAATCTAATTTGTTGTGTACAATTGTTAATTGTATAATTATAATCCTTTTCATTTTTGTAAGGTCGGTAGTAATGTCCTCACTTTCATTTCTGGTTTTAGTTATTTGTGTCTTCTTTCTTTTATTCTTTGTCAGTCTAGACAAGGTTTTGTCAATTTTATTGACTTGTCCAAAGAACTAACTTTTGGTTTCATTGATTCTTTCTATTGTTTTTCTATTCTCTAGTTTATTTTTCTCCACTCCAACCTTTATTTACTTCCTTCTGCTAGCTTTGGGTTTAGTTTTTTCTTTTTCTAATTCCTCAAGGCGTCAAGTTAGGTTATTTTTTATTTTTTTTTGTGAGGAAGATCAGCCCTGTGCTAACATCTGCCAATCCTCCTCTTTTTTTGCTGAGGAAGACTGGCCTGGGCTAACATCCGTGCCCATCTTCCTCTACTTTATATGGGACACCGCCACGGCATGGCTTGCCAAGCGGTGCGTCAGTGCGCGCCGGGGATCCAAACCGGTGAACCTCAAGCTGCCGCAGCAGAGCGCACGCACTTAACTGCTTGCGCCACGCGGGCCAGCCCCAAGTTAGGTTATTGATTTGAGATCCTTCTTCTTTTTTAACGTAAGCATCTACAGCTATAAATTTTCCTCTGAGCCCTATCTTTGCTGCTTCTCATATGTTTTGGTATGTTATGTTTTCATTTTCATTCATCTCTAAGTATTCGCTAATTTCCTTTGTGATTTCTTCTTTGATGCAATGTTTGTTTAAGAATGTGTTGTTTAATTTCCACACATTTGTGAATGTTCCAGTTTTCTTTCCATTATTGATTTGTAGTTTCATTCCACTGTGGTCATAAAAGATACTTTGTATGATTTCAATCTTTTTTTTTTTTCAATCTTTTAAAATTTATTGATACTTGTTTTGCGACATACCATATGGTCTATCCTGGAGAATGTTCTATGTGCACTTGAGAAGAATGTATATTCTGCTGTTGTTGGATGGAGTGTCTGTTAGGTCTAGTTGGTTTATGGTGTCGTTCAAGTCCTCTAGTTACTTAATGATCTTCTGTATAGATATTCTATCCACTATTGAAAGTGGTATATTGAAGTCTCCAACTATTATTGCAGAACTGTCTACCTGATATCATATTTTAAATCTCCATTATTTCCATTTGGCTCCAGTTTCCATGTGTTTTCTGAAATCACCCATCTTTTAACTCTGTGTACTTTTCTCACTAGATCCTTTAGAATTTTTCACAGCTGTTTGAATGTCCCTAATAATTCCAATATTTGGGTTATCTATGGGTCTACTTCTATTGATTATTTCCTCTCTTACCATGGGTCACATTTTTTTGCTTTTCATATGTCTTGTAATTTTTCGTCATGTGCCTTTATTTTTGTATAAAAGAACACTAGAAGCTAAAATAAATAATACATCTCCAGCAAGTTTTGATGAAGTCTAACTTATCTAATTGTTCTTTTCTGTTTATTGCTTTCTGTTATCTGTATGAGAAAACTTTGCTACCGTCAAGTCACAAAGATATTCTCCTATGCTTTTAGGAGAATAAAGATAGCTTTATGGTTTTAGATTTTACATTTAGGTCTTTGATTGTCCTCAAATTAATTTTTGTGTATGGTATGGCATATGAGTCAAGGTTCTGTTTTTAAAATATGGACATTGATATATTCCAGCACCATTCATTGAAAAGATTTTATTTTTCCCATTGAGTTGCTTTGGCTTTCTTTTTAACTTTTTTAAAAAAATTGAATAAATTTGATGTGTAACACTGTGTAAGTTTAAGGTGTAAAAAGTGTTACTTTGATTCATTTATATGTTATAAAATGATGCTTTGGCTTTTTAATTGAAAATTAGAAGACTGTATAAGTGCCTCTATTGAATTTTTCATTTCAATCATTGCACTTTTCATTTCTGTAAGTTCTGTTTTTTTCCAAATCCATTATGTTATTTTTCACAATTTCTTATTTCCAATAAATATTTGTTAGGTTCATCTTTTGTTTTGTTTAAACATAGTCAGCAGACTTGTTTTTATAGTATTGGATGATTCTAATAGTGGATTTTTGGAGGTTTGGTTTTGTCTCTCTTTCTGCTGGTATTCCCTCATGGTTGTTTCCTTCTGTGCTTAGTTGCTTTAAACTGTGAGTCATTCATTATAGTTTCCTTTAAAAATTATTTGTGAGAGTTCTTTGAGTGTTGAAATAAAGGTACGTTCTTCCAGAAAACATTTGTCTTTGCTCCTACCCTTGATTACATTAAACTAAATTTTTTTTCTTTTTGCTTGAGGAAGATTGTCCCTGAGATAACATCTGTGCCAATCTTCCTCTGTTTTGTATGTGGGACACTGCCATGGCATGGCTTGATGAGCGGTGTGTGGGTCGGCTCCCAGGATCTGGGCCCGTGAACCCTGGGCTGCCGAAGCAGCGCACACAACTTAGCCACTGCGCCACTGGGCCAGCCCCCCATTAAACCAAATTTTGATGTTTAGCAACACCCAGGCACTGTGAAAAAATCAGCTTGTAGTTATTCTTTTCAGGAACAATTTCCAACTCCCACCACTCCACTCAGCCAGGCAACGCTCCTTGTAGATCCCTGGGTGTGAGAGAGTGGAGCAGGTTCAGTTATGGTTTATCTTTATCCTGAAGGCATAATTCTTTGGAATCATAGCTTTCAGGGACCAGGGAGATCTCCTATTAGACTCCTGTCCTCAGTGGAATCTGAGCTCTTTATTTTGTTTTTACTCACTGTTAGGACATGAAAAGCTCAGGTTGGCGAGGTTTGGCAAATGCCCTTGTAGCAAAGTGGCTCAAATGCTCTGCTAACTTTTCTGGATTCCTATCTTCATTTAGAGCTTGGTCTGATAATTCTTTATTCTTGTTATCTCACCACTGCCTTTAATAAAATATTGAAAAATATGTTACCCAGTCTTTTTAGTTGTTTTTAGTGAGAGGTAGGTCTTAATTCCTAGCTCATATTACTGGAAATGGAAGTCAGTCATGATGATTTTGAACACGGGATGGAGAGTTAGATTTGTGCTTTGAAGAGATCGGTTCTAGCTATTGTTTGTTTGCTTACTCAATGATATTTGAAGTCCTACTATGTGCCAGGCTCTATATTAGGCCCTGGGGATCCAACTCCTGCCATGTTTCTTGCCCTTGGGGGTTTATGTTCTAGTGAGGGAGACAGACTATGCATCTGTAAGTGAATAAGAAAAATAATTATGATCTGTAGGAATTGCTAAGAAAGATGTTACAGAGACTAAGGGGGGCAGGGAAGAACCTACTTACATAAGGCGATCAAGGAAGACTTCTCTGCAGAGACGACATTTAAATGGAGACCCAGAAGATGGGAGGAAGCCAGCCACTCATGGTAGAGAATGGGTTGGAAGGGAAGACTGAAGGCAGGGAGACTAATTAGGAGACTGTACCAATTGTCTGGACAAGAGCAGATGGTCTTGAACGAGGGCAGTGAGGAAGGGAGAGAAGGGGGACATTGGCAGGACTTGGTGATTGGATGTTGGAGGAGAAGGCTGACAACAGCTAAATGTTTGGCTGATGTGAATGGGCATATGGTGGGGATAGCTGGGGAAGGATCAGTTGGGGAGGAAGGAAAGGCAGAGAAGTCAGGTTGGCACATGCTTCAACATGGTGAACCTTGAAGACATTATACTAAATGAAAAAAGCCAGTCACAAAAGAACAAATACTGTATGATTCCACTTATATGAGGTACTTAAGAGTAGTCAAATTCATAGAGACAGAAAGTGGAATAGTGGTTGTCAGGGCTGGGAGAAGGCAGAAATGGGAAGTTAGTGTTTAATAGATACAGAGTATCAGTTTTGCAAGATGAAGGAGGTTCTGGAGGTGTATGGTGGTGATAGTTGTATAACAATGTGAATGTACTACTGAACTGTACAGTTAAAAATGGTTGAGATGGTAAATTTTATGTTACATGTATTTTACCACAATTAAAAAAAAACAGAAACCAGGGGGCCAGCCCGGTGGCGTAGTGGTTAAGTTCGAGTGCTCTGCTTCAGCGGCCCAGAGTTCACGGGTTCGGATCCCGGGTGAAGACCTACACACTACTTGTCAGGCCATGCTGTGGCAGGAGTCCCACATATAAAGTAGAGGAAGATGGACACAGTTGTTAGCCCAAGGCCAATCTTTTCCTCAGCAAAAAGAGGGTGATTGGCAACAGATGTTAGCTCAGGGCTAATCTTCCTCACAAAACAAAACAAAAAAAAGAAACCAGAAAAAAAAAAGAAAAGAAGAAGTCAGGTTGGACTCAAATATTTGAGCCTGAGGTGCCTTGTGGGGCATCCAGGGGAGAGATGTCCAGGAGACAGGTGGCCACATGTATCTGGGGTTCAGGGGGAGGTAAGGGCTAGAGATGGATATTTGGCCCATCCGTCCAGTGGAAGCTGTGGGAGCAGGTGGTCTCAGCTCCAAATCCAGCTCTATGACCCAGTTCTCTACCTGCAGCCCCAGCCACCCCTCCCGGATGTGCTAGTCTGGATGCTCAGTGGGTGGCGCCGTGTGGCCTGGGCCCGGATCCCTGCCCAGGATGTGCTGTTCTCTGTGGTTGAGGAGGAACGGGGCCGAGACTGTGGGAAGATCCAGAGTCTGCTGCTCACAGTGAGGGGGCCTTGGGGGTGAGGGTGCTGGGGACTGGAGTGGGGTGAGGCTCATAGGGCAGAGGGGGCTTTGGGGTGGAGGCCTGCAGTTCCCAAAAGGGGGTCCCCAAAATCTGTGTTTTAATTAAAAATTTTTAATTAAAATTAAAAACATTTAATTAAAAATTATTTTTGTTTTTAATTTTTTTAATTTTCCAATTTTTAAAATTTTTTAAAAATTAAAAAAATGTTTTAATTTAATTTAAAAAATTTTTACAATTTTTTATTATTTTAAAATTATTATTAATTTTTAAAGTGTACCCAAACTCTTTTCAATTATCCAAAAAGCCAAAAGGAGATTGTGCCTTTACCCAAGTCAGCTTTGATGTGAGATAAACACCAAACTTTGTCAGCCCTGGGCCTGCACTGGCCCTTTTGCTGACTAGGCTCTGACAGATGGGCAGGGTAATGAAAATGGGAGAGTGATTAATTAGTTCCTTATAAGTACAGCTGATTTGGAGGCAAAATATTTCTAAATGAGATGTCCCTGAAACAGACACGAACGGGGGTCTCTAGTGGTGAGAAGTTGTGGCCGTTGACATAAGGGACAGGGAATCTAAATGTGTTGGGGATAAGGGGACAGGGGGTGAGTGTGGGGTACGGGAGTGCAGAGATCAGCGTGTAGTTTTGGGGTATGGGGCTTGAGGTATAGGAAGTGTCAGTGCTGGGGCAGCACATAGAGGGAATGAAAGTATCAGGCATGAAGTGGGGTGTAAGGGTGAGGGCCAGGAGTGCTCTTTGGGTTAGGGAGCTGGAATGTAGTCTAGCGGTACAGAGAGTAGGGGCAAGCCTTGCAGGAGCAGGGCTCTTGGTCTAGCTGGGGTAATAAGAGATGGCCCTAACATGCCTCCTCCCTACAATAGGCACCTGGGGCAGCCCCTGGTGAGGTCTGTGCCAAGCTGGAGCTCTTCCTGTGGCTGGGGCTGGGCAAGCAAGCCAAGGCCTGCACCTCAGAGCTCCCCCCAGACCTGCTGCCTGAGCCCTTGGCTGGGCTGCCCCACAGCCTGTACCGTGATGGTGAGTGCAGTGGGTGGGGTAGGTGTGCCCAGGGCCCAGCTTGCTGTTTGCCTAAGGGGTGGGGCTAGATGCTCAGCTGGGGGTTCAGAGAGGCCTGGGGTCAGGGACTCCAGTGGTCTCCTGAGAAAACATGGCCTCTTCCTTCCCCCCACCCCAGACTTCAGCTACTTCCAGCTCTGGGCTCACTTATATCAGGCCCAAGGTGTGTTGGCAGCAGATGACAGTGGACTCTCGGACCCCTTTGCTCGAGTCCTCATCTCTACCCAGTGCCAGACCACCCAGGTGAGGCCTGGGCTGGGATGTGGGTGGAGGGGTGCTGGGAGACAAGATGGGGTGGGGGCCAAGCTTTTCCCCAGGACCTAACTCTCTCCTCCTGCCCTGGATTTTCAAGACAGGCTATTGGATCAGACTGCCCTGATTTGGGGGTTGGGGGTGCGGGAGTTGTAGAACCAGAGGGTCTTAGAGGTGAAGAGTTGTTTTCTGGGGTTGACTTTAGGACTAATTTTGAGAGTGGCAGATTACAGTAAGGGGAGACCAAGACCAGGAGGGCAGGCTCCAACTCCAATCTGAAGGGTGCTTTCATCTTCATCACACTCTCTCTCCTTTTGTGACAGTTATTTAAAGTATTACTTTAGGGCAGGGGTGCTCTCCTGGGATGTGCGTTGAGAGCCTTCTTCTGACGCCTGCCGCTGCTTCCTCCCCTGCATGGCCCGCAAGGTCCTGGAGCAGACGCTGAGCCCGCTGTGGGATGAGCTCTTGGTGTTTGATCAGTTGATCGTGGACGGGAGAAGGGAGCACCTGCAGGGGGAGCCTCCACTGGTGGTCGTCAACGTCTTTGACCACAATAAGTTTGTGAGTGTGGCCTGGGTCCCACCCGGCTTCCCGCCCCCGAGCGCCCCCACTCCTTGTCTTGATGCCCCCTCCTTTGGCTCCTGAACCTCTTCTACTTCTGTCTTCACTGCCCGGCTCTCTGCAGGGTCCCCCTGTGTTCCTGGGCAGAGCACTGGCTGCACCGAGGGTAAAGCTGACAGAGGACCCTTACCAGCGCCCTGAGCTGCAGTTCTTCCCCCTGAGGAAGGGGCCCCTGGCAGCCGGAGAGCTCATCGCCACCTTTGAACTCATTGAACTGGACTACAGTGGCCACCTTGAGGTCAGAGTGCCGTGGCCTGGCTGATATAGGCTGTGGACCCCTCTTGTTATTCTATCAGGTCATCCACCCCAGGGAATATAGAACATGGGCATGTCCCAGGGTTACCCCTCCAAGTCCCTTACCCCCAGAGAATGCAGGCTGCAGGTCTGTCCTGGGGTCACCTCATCGGACCTCCTGACTCCAGGGAACATTAGAAGTAGACGTGCCTTGGGTTCACCTTGCCAGGCCTCCAACCCCAGAGACTCCAGGCTGCGAGTTGATCCTCATGCCTCAGACACTCACCCTCCTCTCCTGCACATGGCTGTTTCCTGAGACACCCCTCTCCCACCAATCCAGCCTTGCCTGGTGCCTCTGGATTTATATTTCACCAGCGGCTCTCCATATTCCTTCCCCGAGATTCCTCTTTGGCCTCTGACCTCTTGCCCCCTGCAGCCCTCAGTGCCCAGTGATGTGGAGCCCCAGAACCTGACACCCCTGGTCGAGCCCCTCTCCGGACGCCCGTCCCTGCCACCTAATGTGTGTCCAGTGCTCAAGGAGTTCCGTGTTGAGGTAGCACTGGGCACTCACGCCCACCCCGCCCCGACACCTCAGAGCCCCTCTGTCAGGTGCAGTCCCCTGAATCTCCTACTTCCTGACCCCAGGTGCTGTTCTGGGGTCTGAGGGGCCTTGGCCGTGTGCATCTCTTCGAGGTAGAGCAGCCCCAGGTTGTGCTGGAGGTGGCTGGGCGACGTGTGGAGTCCGAGGTCCTGGCTAGTTACCGTGAGAGCCCCGATTTCACCGAGCTCGTCAGGCATCTGACGGTGGTGAGGGCATGGGCTAGGGGGCAAGAAATGTTGGGCTGAGAAGTGACAGAGGGCAGTGGGATGGTGAATTCCCACTGGTTATCTTAGATTAAGCCAGGGGTCAGCAAACTTTCTATAAAGGGCCAGTTAGTAAATATTTTAGGCTTTGTGGGCCATATAGTCTCAGTTGCAATTACTCAACTCTGCTATTGTAGTCTGTAAACATCCATAGACAACAAGTAAATGAATGAGTATGACTGTGTTCCAATAAAACTTTATTTGCAAAAACTGGCAGCAGGCCAGATTTGGTTTACAGGCTGTAGTTTGCTGATTCCTGGATTAATCCATGAACTGGTGGTGCTCTCTTGGCTCTACTGAATGAGTGAATTAGCCAAGTATCACGAAGTATGAGTCTGAAGGAATCTATCTAGTCTCTGAGATACCAGGGCTGAGAAGAAAAATACAGTCTTTGTGTAATTTATAATTATCGTGGTGTGGCCTTGGAGCCAAATTCTGGCAATGCCACTTAGGAGCATGTCAAATCACTTGTCTCATTTGAGCTTTAATTTAGTTTTGTTTGTAAAAGGGAGTAACAGGTACAAAAGAAAAAAGGTTGAAGGAAATACACCAAATGCCCCCTTGCAGGAGTGTAATGAGAAGGCAATGAGAGAAAGAATCTTGGTGAAAGGGCTTTGTAAACTGGAGAGTGCTGTGCCTCTCTGAGGGGCACAGCACTGGGACAAAGCCCAGTGGTTCCAGACTGCAAGCAGGCAAAAAACAACAACAACAACAACAGAAAAAAAAAACTAACACCACTTCATGATTCTGTTTCACATGCAAGAGTTTTCAGTTTAAAAACTTCATTGTGCTATAAGATGATGACACTGAAAGCACTTGCTCATTGAACTTCCAGGGAGTGTTTCCTCTCATTTCCCATTTCATAGTGCAAATTGAGGAGAACACATCCCTCTCTCCATTGTGCACTTGAAAGGAATGTGCATTCTTCTGTTGCTGGGTGGGATGTTTTATAGTTGTCAATTAGGTCAAGTTGGGTTGATAGTATTATTCAAGCCTTCCTAAAAGAAGCCTCCTTGGTGATTTTCTGTCTAGCTGTTCTATCCATTATTGAGAATATGGTATTGAAGTCTCCAACTATTGTTAAATTGTTTGTTTCTCCCTTTATTTTTGTCACTTTTTACTTCTTGCATTTTGAGGTTCTGTTGTTAGGTGCATATATGTTTATAATTGTTATAGTTTCCTATGAATTGATCTGTTTATCATTATAAAATGTCCCTCTTTGTCTCTAGTATTTTGTCTTAAAGTCTATTTCATCTGATAATATAACTACTCCAGTTCTCTATGGTTACTGTTTGCATGACTTATCTTTTCTAATCCTTTTACTTTCAACCTACCTGTGTCTTACTAAAGAGTGTCCCTTAGACAGCATGTAGTTGCATCCTTCTATTTTTTTATCCAATTGACAATCTCTGCCTTTTGTTGAAGTGTTTAATACAGTCACATTTGATGTTATTAGTCCCTGAGCTAACATCTGTGCCAGTCTTCCTCTACTTTGTATATGGGTTGCCGCCACAGCATGGCTTGATGAGTCCATGCCCAGGATCCAAACCTGTGAACCCTGGGCCACTGAAGTGGAGTGTGCAAACTTAACCACTATGCCACTGGACCAGCCCCTGTCTCATATATTTTTTGTTCCTTCTTTACTGCCTTCTTTTTTATCAAATAGATATTTATTAGTGTACTACTTTAATTCCTTTGTTGATTTTTACTTAGGAATTGCTCTAGGTATTACAATATGCATATTGATTTTTTACAATCTACTTTGGATTAATACTAGTTTAGTTCCAATAAAATAGAGACACTTTTATCCATTATACTTCTATTCCTTCCTTCCTCCTTTGTGCTATAATTGTCATATATGTGTAAAATAAACCCAACAATACAGTATTATAATTATTGTTTTTTCCCCCTTAGGATCCATTGATAGATATAGAATTCCTGGGTTAAAAGGCATACATATTTTTATGTTTCTAAATCTATATTAGCAACCTGAGCATTGGTTCTTTACATAATAATAATAATAACCACCATCTCATGTTTCTGATAGCACTTTGTGGGCTCCAAAGTACTTTTGTATCTGTTTTGTCATTTGATACTTACAACAATCTTTCCAATTCAGGATTGTGTCCCTTTTTTAGCTGGGAAACAGGCTCAGAAGGCAATGATTTACCTGAGATGACACAATGGGGCTGTGGGCTTCGAATGCAATTTGGCTGTATTGTTTTCCCATCTGTCTCTGCTGCTGCTCCTCCCTAGGTCCTCAGAGACACAGTCCTCTCTCCCCACCCCCAGGCCTTGCCGGAGCAGCCTTACCTGCAGCCCCCACTCAGCATCCTGGTGATTGAGCGCCGGGCCTTTGGCCGCACAGTGCTTGTGGGTTCCCACATTTTTCCCCACACGCTGCGATTCACACTCCACGGTCATGAGGATCCCCCTGAGGAGGAAGGACAGGAGGAGACAGGGGACTTGGTGCCTAAAGGACCTCAAGGTAAGGGGACTTCCCCTTAGGGGCTACTAGACAGAAGTCCCTCTGGTACCTGGTTGAGATGGCTCCACGGGACCCTCTGGTGGGGCATGGAGTCTGACTTCTATTCACCTGACCTCCTCCTCGTGTCATTTACCTCCTCTCAGGACAGAAGTCCCTGGATCCCTTCTTGGCTACAACAAGTTTACCCAGACGGCTTCTGAAGGTGATGGGGGATGGGGGATGGGTGGAGAAGGGGCTGGCAGGACTTGGGGTGGTGCTGGGTTAAGGGCACTGAGTTCTCTCTCTCTCAGGCTCCTCTGAAGAAGCTACCCCTGGGAGGCCTCCTGAATCAAGGCCCAGAGCTGGAGGAGGACATCCCAGATCCTGAAGAGCTCGACTGGTGGTCCAAATACTATGCATCACTGCAGGAGCTCCAGGGGCAGGTGGGGGCAGAGGAGAGTAAACGGCAGGAAGAAGGATCTCATCAAACGTGGAGCTCTACAGTTTTCCAGAGCTTTTCATTACAGTCATCTTTTCTCATCTTCACAACAATTCTAGAAGCTGGGGGTTATTAACTCCATTATCTAAGCTGTGTTGTCCAACAGAAATATCATGTGAGCCACATATGTAATTTTAACTTTTGTAGTAGCCACATTTAAAAAAAAAGTAAAAGGAAACAGGTAAAATTTATTTTAGTAATATATTTTATTTAATCTATCAAAATATCATTTCAACAAGTAACTATTGTAAAAATTCACAATAAGATATTTACATTATTATTTAATACTAAGTCTTAAAAATATGGTGTGTATTTTACACTTACAGCACATCCCAGTTTGGACTAGCCACATTTCAAGTGCTCAATAGCCACACGTAGCTGGTGGTTACTGTCTTGGACAGCACAGGACTAGATGATAAAACGAAGCTTTGAAATGCAAGTGGCTTACCCAGCTGGAATTTGAACTAAAGTTTCCCAACTCCATCTCCTAGTAAGGGGTAGATTAAGGAGGTGACAAGTGGGGAAGAATCTCTGACCTGCCCTTTGATTTCAGACCAACTTTGATGAGGATGAAATGGATGATCCTGGGGATTCAGGTAAGAGATTTGGCTTTCTTGCTCATCCTCTTTCTGTCTCCTTCCCTCCCCCCACACCAGTATTTCTAACTGAGGCATTTATGCTGTTCCCAGATGGGGTCAACCCCATTTCTGTGGATGAGGAAGCCCAAGACCAGGGTGAGGCTGAAGTCAAAGGCTCCATGTCCCAGAAAAAAGCAATCACCACCCTGAAGGTGACTGGGTGTAGGGGAGAGGGGGATTCTGCTTGGATTCTGGACGTTGGGCTGTCACTGAGGCCCTTGCCTTTCAGATTTACAACAGCTCCTTGGAGGAAGAGTTTAACCACTTTGAAGACTGGCTGAATGTGTTTCCCCTGTACCGAGGGCAAGGGGGCCATGATGGAGATGGAGAGGAAGAAGGGTCTGGACACCTCGTAGGCAAGTTCGAGGTGTGTTTGGGGAAGGAAGCGGGGGGACCAGGGAGTACAGGTGAGGATGCAGGAAGAAGACTCTCTTACTAGGGCCTTTACTGCCCCCCTCCATCCCCACCTCCAGGGCTCCTTCCTCATTTACCCTGAATCAGAGGCAGTGTCGTTCTCTGAGCCCTAGATCTCCCGGAGGATCCCACAGAACCGGCCCATCAAGCTCCTGGTCAGAGTATATGTTGTAAAGGAGCACCTGTCACCTCTGCATGCCTCCAGCTGCAGCAAAGGTAACACACGAAACCTATAGGCTGAAGGATTTGGAAGGAACCTCAGGGATCATAGTCCAGCTTCTTCATTTTTCAGGTGGGAAATCTTAGGTACAAAGTTAAGAGACTCCCCAGGGTTACAAAGCTTGCTCATGGCAGAACCAGAATTTAGAGCATAGGTCTCCTGACTCCTTGTTCATAGTTCTAGTCCCATAGAATGGGCAGTATAATTCCAGGAAGAGCACAACCCTGAATGTCAAGCTTCACAATGGCTTGTCATCAAACACCTTTGTACAGGTCCTTCCATTGCTACAGTTTTCATACGGTGCTCAGCAGGGCCCTGAAGTTTCCTTAAAGACATCTCAGGGATTAAGGGGAATGAGTGGGTTGCTGCCCCTTCACTCCCAGCACCAGAGCAGATGCTGTACTTTTATCTGGTTTAAATATAGGGATTCTGACTAAGATGTAATTTAAAGAAACATTCTGAGGCACTGTTCTACCATAATTGAAGCATCCTCGTGCATAAATTAGATAGTAGGAGTCATCTTGACCTTCTGCTTCTAGCAATATTGCAGACTAGATCATCTGAAATAACTTCCTGATATAATACATCTAGAAATGCTAGATAAACAATCTTTTAAACAAATGCTAAGCTCATAAGAAAGGGAATTTCCAACGGGCCAAAATGAGGAGGCAGCAGGAATCCCTGAACAAGCCCTGAAGCTCAGATTATCTTGAGAGGGTTTGTCCAGACCTGGACCCTGAGCCTTGGGTTCTAATAGCCTATCCAAGGTGGGAGACACAACCAACATCCTCGTGTGAAGCAGCACCCAGGAAGGGCTCTGCTCTCACGAAAGGTGGGCAAGAGGAAGCCCCCTTACTGGGAAAGGAGCCTGTAAAGTAAATGGTCTGTTTCAGGCTCTGTTCCAATTGAGGGAAATAGAAGAAAATGTCTGCCCTGAGAACGTATTATTAGAGTTTTGCCTTCACATTGATTTAAGACTTGAATTTATATTATCTGCTTAGTCTAGAAAACTCAAAGCTGAGAGATTGGTTTAAAGTGGTCCCAAATCAGGCTTCACAGGTTCCACAGATTTAGATAACCTAAACTAGGTTCAAAATCCCAAATTACAAAATATATAAGAAAAGAGACAATCAGGAAAAATTGTCAGAAAAAACACAAAGGAGAACCTCTAAGGGCTTCAGATGTTAGAATTTTCAAATATTAAAAACGTAAAACAACTATTTAAAATATTTCACAAGCAGAGAACAAGAGGCTATCAAAACTGTCTGGGCATTTTTGAAAATAATAAAATAAAATTTCTAAAATCTTATTAAATGCCCATATATAGCAGAATGGTATGTCCACACAACAGAGTACTATGCAGCTATAAAAAAGAATGAGGAAGATCTCTATGAACTGATACAGAGTGATTTCCAGGACATAGTATAAAGGGAAAAAAGGAAAGTGCAAAAGAGTATCTATAGTATGTATGCTACCTCCACATAAGAAAGAAGAAGGTACAAGAAAACACACGTTTGCTCCTTTGTGCATCAGAAATACAGGAAGGATAAACTAGAAACTAAAGAGACTGGTTACCTAAAGAGGTGAATGGTAAAGGGGTGGAAAGACAAGGAGAATGGGATCAGGGTAGCATTCAAATAGTACAGTATCATGTCTACCACAAACCAGGCACGAGGCTGAAAGCTGCTACCCTGGAATCAACAAGCTAATTCTAAAATTTCTATGGACGAGCAAAGTGCCAAGAATAGCCAAGACAATTTTGAAAAACAATGTAGGGAGATAAGAATTATTACAAAGCTATAGTAATTAAGACAGTGTAGTTTTGGCATGGGAATAGATAAATAGGCCAATGGGACAAGGTAGAAATTTAACAAAGACCCAGACATAGATGGAAACATATACCAGAGTTGGCACTGCAGATCAGTGGGGGAAAAATGGGACTGTTCTATAAGTGGTCCTATGAAAATTGATTGTCCATGTAGAAAAAAATAAAATTAAACTCCTAACTTACAGCACTCACATAAAAATCTAGCATAATTAAATATTTTATTGTAAAGAGCAAAAATGTAAGGAAATGTTAAAATATCTTTATGATCTTGGATGGGGGGAAGTTTTCTTAATACACAAAAGAGAACGAACAATAAATTAGGAAACAAATGATACATGTGACTACATTGAGATTAAACTTCTGGCCATCCATAAACTTTAAAATAAGTGACAAGACTGAACACAGACTGGGGTAAGGTGTTTACCCTATGCATAATCAAGACAGAGTTAGTGTACATGATACATATAAGTAACTCCCACAAATCTATGAGAAGCAGACAAAAAAGAAAAATTGATAAAAAATATGAAAAAGCAATTGACAGAAGAAGAAACTCCAATGCCCAATAAACATACAAAAAATCCTAAACCTTGGGCCGGCCCCGTGGCTTAGCGGTTGAGTGTGTGCGCTCCGCTGCTGGCAGCCCGGGTTCGGATCCCGGGCGCGCACTGAGGCACCGCTTCTCTGGCCATGCTGAGGCCGCGTCCCGCATGCAGCAACTAGAAGGCTGTGCAACTATGACATACAACTATCTACTGGGGCTTTGGGGGAAATAAATAAATAAATAAATAAAAAATTAAAAAAAAAAACCCTAAACCTTAATAGTAATCAGGACATGCAAATAATTGAAACCATGAGAAACCAGTTTCCTCCCTTTGATTGGCAAGATTAGAAATGCTACCAGACGAAGGCTGGGGAGGCTGTGGAGCTCTGCACAGCGCTCGTGGGAAGGTGTATGAGTTTCCTGTTGCTGCGGTAACAAATGACCACAAATGCGGTGACTTACACAACAAAAATCTATTATCTTACAGTTCTGAAGGGCAGAAGTCTGAAGTAGGTCTTACTGGGCTAAAATCAAGGAGTTGGCAGGGCTGCATTCCTTCTATAGGTTCTCGGGGAGAATTGTTTCCTTGTCTTTTTGACCTTCTAGAGGCAGCCTGTGTATCTTGTCTCATGGCCTCTTCCTCCATCTTCAAAGCCAGCAGCACAGCATCTTCAAATCTCTCTGACTCGCCTATCTCCCTCTTTCACTTAGGAGGACATTTGTGATTACACTGGGGTCACTGGATAATCTAGGACACTCTCTCCATCTCATGATCCTTAATTTAGTCACATCTGCAAAGTCCCTTTTGCCGTGTAAGGTAACATATTCATAAGTTCAGGGATTAGTACTTGGGCATCTTGAGGGGGTTCAATAGTCTGCCTGCCACAGAATGTAAATTGCTATACCAACTTTGGAGAATAATTTGGCAATATTTAGAAAGATGAAAGATTCTCATAGCCAATACCCAGTAATTATACTTTTAGATATAATCTTAGAGAAATTCTTACATATGTGTATAAGGAAACAGATAAGAATTGCTCTTTCTAGTATTATTTGTAATAATAAAAAATTTAGAAATAAACTACTAAAGTGTTAGTATTCCTAAATAGGAGAGAGAGAGTGTGTCAGTCATATAACAAATACTACAGTTAAATTGATCAAACCACAGCAACCTGTATCCACAAGGAGAAACCTTCCAACATAAATTTGGATGATTCTCAGTTTGTGGAAGATGGCACCAATGAGGCATTTCCCCTTCCTTTTCCTGAAAATCATCCAAAAACAAACAGAACAAACAAAAATCCAGCTTCCAATTATGGTGAAATCAGAGTATTAAAACTGCAAACCACCAGGCACACTGGAAGAGCTTCCAAGAGCTGTGCAGATGAAGTGGTGTGCACGAGAGAGTGGGGAGAGGACGTCACTCAGCAGAGCTCAGGGTCACCAGTCTGTGTCCCAAGGGGGAAGGGCACACCCTGAGGGTTCAAGCTTGCATCGGTCACCAAAAGTAAAAACGCTGGATAAAATTTTAAAAACATCTTTTATAAAGATGTTTTATAAAACTGGAAAAAAAATCTTTAAAATGCTGTGCTGAGCTTCCAAGAAAGTGAGAGATTTTAGAGGGGGAAAAAAATCTCAAAGTAAAAGCGGGAACTATTTTAAAATGTACACAGGATTTTATCTTTATCCATGTATGGTGAGGCTAACAGATCAGGAGACAGTTGCCATTGAAAAGATAGTCTGTTGTTTGTTTCAGTTTCTCAAGAGGAGGGGGGGAGGCTGCACCACGCAGGGCTACACAGGGAAGCACTAGGGTCAGTCCGGAGGCAGAAGGAGCGAGGGACATTCGAGGGCCAGAGCCCTTCTTGTGGTTTCTGCAGGAAAGGCACGGCAGGGTAAGCAGGCTTAGGCTTGGTTAGTTTGAATAATTCCTGTGGGGCTGGCCCCGTGGCTTAGTGGTTAAGTGCGCGCGCTCCACTGCTGGCAGCCCGGGTTCGGATCCTGGGTGTGCACCGACGCACCGCTTCTCCGGCCACGCTGAGGCCGTGTCCCACATACAGCAACTAGAGGGATGTGCAGCTATGACATACAACTATCTACTGGGGCTTTGGGGGAAAATAAATAAATAAAATCTTAAAAAAAAAAAAAAGAATAATTCCTGTGGGCTCTGGGGTACAGGGGCTGTTCCCTGTCTCTAGTTGTCTGGTACCTGTCCCTGTGGGGGTGATTAGGGCAGAGGAATATTACTTCTTGGAGTATAAGAGCCAAATAGAGGAGGTGGTTCAGAGTATGGGCTCTGGATTAGTTGGTTGTATATAAAAGGTGCTCTGGCAGGTGCGATGTTTGCTAACTCTAGGATTAGCTAGCCCTGGGAAGGGCAGTCTCTCCAGGATCAGTAAAGCCCCAGATACCAGAGTCTTCAGAATACAGGAAGTAAGAAAATATCGTTAATACAGGAACCTAGGGAGATAAATGAGTGCTGAAGCTGGCTTTCATCCGACAGTTACTGCTGACCCTGGAGACCTCAGCCTCCCCGTGGAGGGCTGACAGGCAGTGGGGACAGAAGATAAAGCCCAGGGGAGGATTCTGACTGGAAGGCCTCATATAAAGCAGAGTCCCAAAAGGCTACACCCTCAGCATAAGGATGAACAAAAACAGGAACCTGTAAGACAGAAGGGGACACCAAGGAAACTTGCCTGTCTAAACCTTGGCACTGGTTAGAGGGGACAAGTCTCCCTAAGCATCCGTGACCACAAGCTGGCTCTAGTGCAGTTCTGGGCCTGAGTTCCCACCATCTGTGTGATCCCCCAAACCTCAACTGGAGGATTTCATTTAAAGTGGTCGCAGGTTGGTAGTCTGCCCAAGAAACTGGCAGAAGCAAAAGCAAGCCCTTTCTGGCAGACAGCACCTGCAATTTAGGCCCTCAGGATGAGTTTAACCAAATGTGAGTCATGATAAAAAGTACCCAATTACTAAGAAACAAGCCCACTGTGAATAAGAATAGTAAAAATAACAACAGATTCAGACCGCCAGGGTCGTTGATCTTGGACTGACTAGACAGAGAACATAAAATAACTATATATGAAATGTTTAAAGAAATAAAAGAATAAATTTAAAATGAGCAAGGAACAAGAGACTATTAAAAGTAAACAGCAAATTTGGGGGCCGGCCCAGTGGCCTAGTGGTTAAGTTCACGTGCTCCACTTCGGTGGCCCAGGGTTTGGCGGTTCGGATCCTGGGTGCAGACCCACACACCACTCATCAAGCCATGCTGAGATGGCGTCCCACAAGGAGCAACAAGAAGGATGTACAACTATGACATACAACTATCTACTGGGGCTTTGGGGAGAAAAAAGGAAAAAAGGAGGGAGATTGGCAACAGATGTTAGCTCAGGGCCAATCTTCCTCAAAAAAAAAAAAAAAGAAAAGAAAAGGCAAATTTGAAGGACCAGATGGAATTTTTAGAAATTAAAAGTGTAGTATTTAAAATTAAAAACTCAATGGTGGAGCAAAAGATTTGAACCTCACTTCACAAAAGAAAATATACATAAGGCCAATAGGCACACGCAAAGATGCTCAACATGCTTAGTCATCAGGGAAATGCAAACTGAAACCACAATGAGCTACAATTTCACACACACTAGAATGACTAAAATAAAAAAGATTGACAATATCAAGTGTTGGTAAAGATGTGGAGCAACTGGAACTCTCATATATTGCAGGTAGGGGTGTAAAAAACACGAAAAATATATTGCTGTATATAAATTATACTTCAATAATTTATGCATATTTTTACTAAATTGTATAGTTATCAAAACAGACAAAAGTTTAATATATACAGTTTAAAAACGTACAAATTGGTGCTATATATTGCTTGGGATACATGTATATGTAGTAAAAGTATTTTTACTTCTTTTGGTGAGGATAAATCCCAAGTAAAAGGTTCTGGCTACTTCAGGGAAGGAAAGGGAGTTAAATCAGGTAAGGGGGCTCAGGGGGCTTCCATTTGTTGGTAGTATTTTATTTATTAATCTGGGCACATATGCTTATTGTGTGATTCTTTTATTTAGTTAAAATATTCTTAATTTAAAAAGTCACATATGCTCATTGTAAAAAATAAAAGTCAAACTATACAGAAAGTTATAGATTGAATAGTAAGGCCCTTATGCATCTTTCCACGTATTTTCAGTGTTTCATTATATTTTTTGTTATGCCTATTTGTATGTCTTAAGTATTTCATAATAAATTTAAAAGAAAATAAAAGTTATCTTGTCCAACCTCTCAGTTAACTCCTCGTGGTGGGAGATCTCTGCTTGGTCACTTCTGCTTACACTTAATCTGAGATTAGGTCCAGCAAGGGTAACCTTGGGTTATGACAATGACACTTGTCTCAGTTCCACCCCATACTGTCCCTCTAGGCTACCAACCTGGCTCCTGCAGACCCCAACGGCAAAGCAGACCCCTATGTGGTTGTGAGCGCTGGCCAGGAGCGGCAGGACACCAAAGAGAGCTACATCCCCAAGCAGCTGAACCCCATCTTTGGAGAGTGAGGCTGGGCCCCAGGCTTGAGAATGGGGAGCAACTTGACCATCTGACCCTGTGGCCCAAGGGCTCCCACTCACTTGGTGTTGGTGGGGGAATGGACAGAGGCTGCTGAGACCCCTGACACTCCCACCCCCACAGCCCACCTCCTAGGACATAGAGGTGTCCTCAACCATTCTCCCTCCTGGCCAGGGTCCTGGAGCTCAGCATCTCTCTCCCCGCTGAACCGGAGCTGACAGTGGCTGTGTTTGATCACGACCTTGTGGGTTCTGACGACCTCATCGGGGAGACGCACATTGATCTGGAAAATCGATTCTATAGCCACCACAGGGCGAACTGTGGGCTGGCCTCCCAGTATGACGTGTGAGTCTGATGGGCCCTCAGGAGCCATTCTGAGTCTGATCAAAGACGTTCAAGTTCACATTTCCATTGGTGTGTCCAGATTCTTTGATTTCATAAAAGGGGACCTCCCCATGACCACGATGTTATAGCTTAGTGGTCAAGACCTGTGCTTGGGAGTTGGAATCCTGTAACTAATAAGTCACTTGACCTCTCTGAACCTCAGTTTCCTCATCTGCAAAATAGAGGTAATAATATCAGTATCTCCTTCATAGGAGCACCTGGCATACATCTTTGATTTTCATGGGCACCATAAGCAAGGACTAATCTGTCTTCTGTTGGAGTTATGAACCTGGATCCCATGTCTTCAAGGGTTCCCATCCCTGCCCCTGTGCCCAGTTGTGTCCATATGCTGGCCCCAACAGAAGCATTTTCCTTTTTTGCCTGCAGGGATGGGTACAATGCCTGGCGTGATGCATTCCGGCCTTCGCAGATTCTGGCAGGGCTGTGCCAACGCTGTGGCCTCCCTGGCCCTGAATACCGAGCCGGGGCTGTCAAGGTGGGCAGCAAAGTCTTCCTGACATCGCCTGAGACCCTGCCTCCAGGTACCAGTCCCTCTCTGCTGGACATTCTAGAGGGAGCAAGATGGTAGAACAAGGTACAGGGGGCCCCTGGTGCCCAGTCTAGTGTGCCCCAAAAGAGTCTTCCTCCTTCTGCAAGCAGAAGTGAGTGTGGCTGAGTAAGGACAAGGTTCCTTGATGGCGGGGAGAAAACAGTCTTTGTTGGTGAGCGTGAAATCCCCAAAGAGCCAAAGTGGATCCTCAGAGCCATAGCTAATCAAGTTCCCAGAACACAGGGTAGCCTATAGTGGGTTCCATACAACAGAATGTGGCTGCAGAATTGAGCTCCTGCCTCATAAATGGCTGGTGGTCTGTCTCTAAACAGGGTCTGCGCAAAGGCGACAGCCCCTCCAATCCCACTGTCCCACTGACTGCTAGCTTTTCACTGGCGAAAGTTGTTACAGCAGCATCCTCCCGCTTTCTGTGCATTGTGGACTTACCCTCCCTGCCCATGGGCTTTGTCTAACACAGCCAGCTGCCTCCACTTAGAGCTTCTATTGAGGGCTGGGAGGAGGAAGGGAGGAGAGCTGGGAACTGTGTAGAACCCACGCTCACACACCTTTTGTTGCAGGTAGTGGGGGCCCCAAGGTGGCAAGTGAGGTCTCTGAGGAGGCCCAGGCACTGCTGGTGCTGCGGCGCTGGCAGGAGATGCCGGAGCTTGGGATCCAGTTGGTACCTGAGCATGTAGAAACACGGCCCCTCTACCATCCCCACAGCCCGGGGCTGCTGCAGGTGAGGGAAGGCTCAGCAGTCAACCCCAGAACCTCAGGACTCCCAGAACCCCAGGACCCCCACCTGGTCCTGGACCCTGGGCCCCCGGGATGCCTTGTCCCCAAGACCTCCCCCTGGGTACCACACTGCCACTTCTGATTCTGGTTCCTGATCCTGGTCCCCAGCATCCCCACTCCAGTCTTGAAGCTCCATCCTGGATCCCACCCCACCCCCCAACAGGATCCCCACCCCTGGGCCACCAAGGCTCAGACCTAGCACTCCCAACCTGACCTCTACCCCGGGTCCCTAGGATCTGGACCTCAGAAACATCGGATCTTACTTCTGATCTCAACCTTCCACTTCTGGGGACTCATCCCTGAACCCCTAACCTAACCTCAACCCTGGACCCCCCACTTCAGATTCTACCTTCATCCTCATTCCCCAGGATCTGCCCTACTGTGCCCTCTTGATCCCAGCTCTTCTCTCCACCTGGGGCAAGGCACAGTCTCTGGCCACAGGGCCGCCATGGGAAGTGGGGACCCCAGCAAGACCCTTCAGCCTCTTTCTGTGTCCCCAGGGGTCACTTCACATGTGGATTGACATCTTCCCCCGCGATGTGCCCGCCCCACCCCCAGTTGACATCAAGCCTCGGCAGCCAATCAGGTGAGAGAGAGTCCTGGCCCCTACTCCCATGGGGCAGGCACATCTTGGACTGCCCTACAAGGGCCCTCTGAAAACCCAGGTCCCCAGCAAAGCAGGCAGAGGCTACTGAACCGGGCTTTTCAGTTAGGTGAGCCATCAAATTCCCTTTTATTCATAAGCCATTGTGAGTGTGTATCTGTCACTTGCAACTGAAAGGGTCCAAACGCCAATAAATCCCTTCCTGACCTGAGCTAGTCTGGGTGGAGTTCTGTGTAGAGTGTATGTACTTCAGATGTCAGCAATCTGTGATTTTCTACCTCTGAGCTCTGTGTTCCTTGGTGTCACTCTCAGGGAGGCTTTTGCAGTCTGGGGCCAAGGTGGCTTTTAACAGTGCCAGGCTTACATCTTACCAACTAGTCTACTTGAGCAGAAAAATAAACACCTCTTTCCCAGTTAGAGCAAAAGTCTCAGAGCTGACTCTCATTGGACCAGCTTGGGTTGAATGGTGATCCCTGAACCAATCATTGTGGTCGGGGGCTGTAATACGCTGATTGGCCAGTCCTGGGTGATATCCTAGGTGATGCACTTACCTCTGGAGCCAGGTAGGGGTCATCTGCCCCACCAGAATCACACAGATTGTCAGTAGTAGGGGTGGGGGTAGGGGTCACCAACAGAAAATCAGGGTGCTGTCAACGAATGAGGGGAAATTGATGCAAGAGAGAACCACAGATATCCAGGAAACCCATGACAGCCAAGGACAGGGCTATTTGTGGTATGATCAAGAATGTTGCAGCCCCTCCTTCCGTCCCTTAGGAGCTGCATGCTGTCATCCCCACTCTGTCACTCCTTCACCCACTTCTGTCTGCAGACTGGCTTTCTCTCCCGTGTACCCTAAAACTTCAGCTTGCACCTCACTTTGGTTGCAGTGGCTCCAATTCTGCCTCTGACACTACACAACTCAACCTTTCAGGGTCCTGATTCCAAATTTATAGGAGAATCCTGTTGGCCCAGCTTGGGTCAGCAGACCATTCCTGGTGCCATCCGCTATGGCTGGGGTGGTCGGTGATACCTGGGGCTGCCGCTTTAAGGGACTACAGACATCCTGGTCACCCAGCTAGGCACATATTGGTGCTCAGGGAATGTCAGTGGCCCTGGCCTGGGTCCTTCCTGCTTCCTGCAGCCCCTCTTAGGACCCCTCTCAAGAGTCTAAAAATCCTCTCCCAATACACCCCCAGCTATGAGCTCAGAGTCATCATCTGGAACACGGAAGATGTGGTTCTGGATGACGTGAACCCACTCACTGGAGAGATGTCAAGTGACATCTATGTGAAAAGGTAGGCCCACAGGCAGGGCCGGGCAAATGGCTGTGTACTGTGTGACTGCAAACAGGGGCTTGGGCCCTCAGGCTGAGCCAGAGCCCTGTCCCCTAGGCCCTCTCTGCTACCTGGAGTTGGGTGAAGGGACTGGCCTAGTGGGTGAGCCAAGGGGAAGCTGGATGAGGAGCCAGGTTCTGGGTTTGGCCCCAGCACTGATGCCTCGCCCTTGGCCTGCACCTTTCCCCTGGCTCCAGCTGGGTGAAGGGGCTGGAGCACGACAAGCAGGAGACAGACGTCCACTTCAACTCTCTGACTGGGGAGGGGAACTTCAACTGGCGCTTCGTGTTCCGCTTCAACTACCTGCCCACGGAGCGGGAGGTGAGCGTCCGGCGCAAGCCCGGACCCTTCGCCCTGGAGGAGGCCGAGTTCCGGCAGCCGGCCGTGCTGGTCCTGCAGGTCTGGGACTATGACCGCATCTCCGCCAACGACTTCCTTGGTACTGCTTAGCCTTTCTCCTACCTCAGCCCCTAGATCCGATTTATGCTCTCATTGCCCGGGCCCCCCTGGCCCTGCCCCCTGGCCCTTGGTTCCCTTCTCTAACCCAACCCTGAAACCGGGGTTTCAGACCCTAGGTTACTAACCCTTGCTTTCTCGCCTAATTACTGAATTTATTCAGCCCTGAGCACCATAACCTGCATTCCCATCCAAAGTCCCTGACTCAATCCTCTGACTTGACCTGAGCCAGGTCACTCTGGACTCTGACTCTCTGGCCTTTGGACCCTGCTTTGGCAGTCTGGTCCGGTCCTGGGCCCTGTGTCATCAGGGTCTGACAGCCTGCTGATGTTTGGGCTGTGGTGTGTGGTCCCTAGCTGTGGCCTGACCACCACAATCTAACTTCTGATGCCCCGATTTACAATCCTGCTGCGCCGCCTCCTTCCCCTTGGCCGAGATGGACCTTGATCTCCTGCCTAACCCGGAAAGCTCTGGACTTGCAGGTTCCCTGGAGCTGCAGCTACCAGACATGGTGCGGGGGGCCTGGGGCCCCGAACTCTGCTCCGTGCGGCTGGCCCAGGACAGGGCCCAGCCGAGGTGCAATCTGTTTCGCAGCCGCCGCTTGCGGGGCTGGTGGCCTGTAGTGAAGCTGCGGGAGCCGGAGGATGAGGAGCGGGAGCGGCGGGAGGCTCAGGCTGGCAAGAAGAGGCTGAGGAAGAGGAGGAAGGGTCGGCCAGAAGACTTAAGAGTTCACAGACCCGGGAGGCCACCTCTACCTCCTCACAGTGGGTGCAGCCACAGCAGGGACTGGGCCGGCGGGGGCCCAGGCCTGAGCCTGCCTAAGAGCCTGGCTTCTGTTCCCTCTTTTCCTAGGGGAAAGTGGAAGCTGAGTTTGAGCTGCTGACCGTGGAGGAGGCTGAGAAACGGCCAGTGGGGAAGGGGCGGAAGGAGCCTGAGCCCTTGGAGAAGCCCAAGTGAGTTGGGGTCACAGGAGACCAGGCCAGAGCCCGAAGAGAGGGAGATGGGGGCAGCCCAGGGGCTTCCTCACCATTCTGACGCCACCTGCCCCGACAGCCGCCCCAAAACCTCCTTCAACTGGTTTGTGAACCCACTGAAGACCTTCGTCTTCTTCATCTTGCGCCGGTACTGGCGCATCCTGCTGCTGCTGCTGCTGCTGGCCTTGATCACCATCTTTCTCCTCCTCGTCTTCTACACCATGCCTGGCCAGATCAGCCAGGTCATCTTCCGCCCCCTCTACCAATCCCATGACACTGACCTTGGACACTCATCCCATACCAACCCCTCAACTCCTGCTCCTGTAAGTCCTTCGCCCTAATATGAGCTGAGTTCACTGCTTTCTTTGAATAAACCTTATCACACATCCACTCAGATGCTTAAATATGTGCTGCTCAGAATAACACCAGGGCAGGGAACAGAGATGTTCTTAGGTGACCTCAGATGCTGGGGATTTACTAGGTGAATGGATACGCAGGGATGGAAGGCTGCCCATGTGGCTCTGCCACAGGGAAGAATAGGACCTGGCAGGAGGTTCCAGGGCTGAGGAGCCCTGGCCACTGAGGTGTCATGCCCTCTGAGCAGCCCACCTGTTGCTCCGGCTCCTGCCAATGGCTGGGTCTCTCTCACTTAATCTGCTTTTGGCCTCTGCCATTCCATGACAGCTAAACACTTTCCATACTTCATTAACTTGCTTATTCTTCACCAACCCTGTGAGTTGGCAAATCAGTTAGGACACTTGGTTGCAAATGACAGAAATCCCAACTCAAACTGGCTTAAGCAAAAAGGGAATTTTTGGCTCGCACTGCTTAATTCCCAGGGTTTGGCTGGCTGGCTTCAGGTGCACCTTGTCACAGGTTCAAATGATGTCACAAAGAACAGCTCTCCACCTCCGGGCTCAGCTCTGCTGTCCTCTAGGGGCTAGCTCATTCACAGACAGGGCCTCCCCTTGGAACTGTATGATGGCTGCAGCAACCACGCGTCCCCCCATATTCACATCCAGAAAGCAAGCAAGCTTTCCTAGTCCTGACAGCCTGGCTCACACTGGGTCACTGTGGCCAGGGGGGTGGGATATGCTGGCTGGGGCCCTTCCCTGGAGCTTAGGGTAGGAGACTGACCCTCCTCCCAAACCACATGAGCTGACAGGGTGGACAGGGAGGTTCCCAGAGGAAATTCAGGATACCATTAACAAGTGGGAATGGTTCCTGGGTGACTAAAAAAACAAGGCTCACTGTAGCTGGCAATATTACCTACAATTTATAAATGAGACTGGTGCCCATAGAGGGATTAAATAACATGTTTAAGGTCACACAGTTTGTAAGTGATCACATCAGAGCTGGATCTCAGGTCTGTCTGCCTCCACAGGTTTTGCTATCATTGCCCTACTCTGCTTTCTGTCCTCTCTCTGCTTCTCTCCCTACTACTGTTTTACACTAAAACTCCCTGAGAAATGACTGGATGAACTAACCAGCTGTTAACGTCCCTGGTTCCCTGGGCTGTGTGGTGTGAGGTCTCAGGGCCTGGTTCTCCACATGTATAAAGGGCTATAATGGGAAGCCCTGACTAGGTCCAGAGCTGAGGGTCTGACATTAGCCCTGCTCCAGAATGGCCACTGCTACCTTCCCTCCCTTTTTTTCAGTTCTGCCTCCACCTGGGACACTGCACAGGACCTGGCTGGACCCCTCTCAGCACCAGGAGCCAGCAGGGGCTTGGCACAGAGCACGGTCAGTGAGCACGAGGGGATCAGGTGACTAAGCCCAGAGTGGCAGGGAGGGGCCCCAGCACTAGCTGTCACCAAAGAGGTGGCAAGCCCCAGCCTGCACCCAGGGCCCTATTACCACTGGGGTCCAACACTCTAGAGCCTAGGGGCCATGGGGGCTCCAGGGAGCTCACCTTAGAAAGGTCCATCTCAGCCCTGGGGCTGAACCCAAAAGGCCCAAAGACCACAATGGAGGAGGAACTGGGGACAGGGCTGTAGGGTGGACATTGGTCTGGTTTGAATAAAGTCCTATTAACCAGGGGACATCCATGTGGGACTCCCAGAGGGCATCTGTCCCTGATTTGTCAGTTCTGACTGCCTTCACTAAGTAGGTGTGATAAGGGTTTGTGCCCAGGCTCCGGCCGGTCCCAAGAACCACACAGAGACCAGCTAGTACTATCACAATCAATAGATTTATCAACCTGGGGCTGCGACTGACTCTCCGAGTAGTGGTGGGGTGGTGGGGAAAGAGGCTGGGAAAATGGCCAGAAGGCTAAAGAGAAACAGGAGAAGCAGGGAACAACAGAGGGGGAAGGGGACAACTACGTTGTCTTCCCTAGATCAATTTTCTTCTGGATGGCTCGAGCTGAGTGGTAGATGAGAGAATCGATGAGTCCAGCCACTGGGGAGAGAGACAAGAGCTGGCACTGGCCCAGTTAGGCCCTTGGCTTGACCTCCAGAGCCTTGTCACCTAACTGGCCAGGCCAGTATCTCCCTTTGGCCTTTGAGGGGCCCCTCCTCCCCCAATCAAAACCTGGGGGGCCCAGGCTTTACACTCCCCACCATGCCCCCGACCCCAGACAGACGCCCTTGAGCTTCTAACCTGTGAACATGCCCCCGATGATGGCGCACACGCCGGTCAGGAAGTGCGTGAAGGACCTGGCAGAGGGGCGGGGGGGTCAGCAGGCATCCCTACTCCCTGCAGGCCCAGGCCTCCCACCTTCTCACCCTCACCTGTGCTTCTCTGTCAGCTTCACCATCATGGGCGAGAGCTCGTACAGCACGAAGACTCCAGGAAGCCCCTGGTCGCCCATCAGCCCATTGGCGACCTTCTCATGTCTGGTCACAGAGAACTGATTTGTCCTCAGCACCTGCAGTGGGAAGGGAGTCTGGGCCAGGGCAAGGGCTACGACCTGGCTCCCAACCCCCCTCACCCCGACCCCTGCTCCTGCCCCTTGTCTGTGGTGCCTTGACTGTGTGGAGGAGAACACCAGGCCCCACACTGGTAACGCACACTGCAAGGCTGGGGACCACCTAGATGCCTTCTCTCGGCCTCACCACCCCAGCTTCCCCTCTGGTCACCAGCTCTTTACAGTTCACCAAGCCCGGCTACATTTGGTGGATCCTCTCAATGGGGTTCAGGGATGAGAAGCAACTCTCCAAGGCTGTACCACGAGCTCCTGGCAAGGCTGGGCCTGACTTCTGCCCCTCAGTCCCATGCATTCTAGCAGTCTGCGGAGATGCTGCCCCACAGGCCACAGCAGAGAGGGGAGTAGGGGGCCCAGGAACGGTTGGCCTGACTAGCCCCCAACCCAGGGCAGACCACGGGGGACAGTGAGGCAGACAGACAGTGGGCATCAAAGGAACAGATGGAAGCAGTTTGGGCAGGCAGAAAGAGCACATACTTTGAATTCCAACAGCCTGGGCCTGTACTCTCGCTGTGACAGCAAATCACCTACCCTCTCTGAGTCTCACCTACCCTCTCTGAGTCTCAGCTTATCACCCATCACATGGGCATGAGAGCAGCACTCCACTTCCCAGGTTGAAGGGACTCTGATATCTGAGCTCCCGCAGACTCACCTCCCCATCTACCTTCATGTACACTGTGGGTACCACCTTCACAAAGTACTGGAACATCATGGAGGCTGCAGGGAGAAGAGAGCACTGGGCATGGGTGCTAGGCAGGGCTTTGGTGGCTGGGGGCTACCTCCTAGGCTGGTACCTTGGGGTGCAGTGACGTTGGTGCGGTCCAGAGGGTTCACAATGCCCGGGTAGTCCTCCCCAAACGACAGGTGCCGGATGTAGTGGGTCATGTTGATCTGCAAGCAACACGAGCGCTTGGGCCTCAGAGCACTCAAGGCCCCAACAGGCCCCACGACATCCAAAGCTCTACAGTACAGCAGCAGACAGGGACGCCGGGGTCTGGGGAGTGGATGGGTGGAGATGGGGGCAGGAGGGAGAGGCCCTGCCTGGGAGAATCTGACCGAGACAGGCACCCCCATTGCCCACCTAGGAACTCCTTCTTCACAGAGTCTTCAGGCTCCTGGGGCTCCGGAGTCTGTGGTTCTGGCTGCCTCCATACATTAGGCAAACACAGACTGGGCACGGACCCTGTGTGGCAGGTCTACCTTTGCCTGGAGGTCTCAAGCCAGGGAAGCCAAAGGCTGCAGGGGCCCCAGATTTCCCAGCTCCCGCTCCTGTCCTGCTCCAGTCTATATCAAACTCAGCCACCAGATCTTTAAAAATATGCAAATTTGATTACGTCATGACCCTGGTTAAAGTAGGCCAACAGCTTCCCACTGCTCTCAGGAGAAAGACCAGACGCCTCGGCATGGCCCCAGTCCTGTGTGGTCTGGTCCCCGCCAACCTCTCCAGCCTCACCTACCCACACCAGCCCTTGTCGTTCTTGAGAAGTGCCACACTCCCCCCGACTCTGCCCAAGGATCCCTCTGCCCTGGAAGCTCTCCTCCAACTCCATCCCCCGTCTCCAGCCTGTGTAGATCTCAGTTCAAAAGTCACTGCCAGTTATTCAACCTTCAGACTGGATCCCCTGTCAGAATACGGTATATTTTTCTTTACCCGCTCCCCCATCCCCGCATGTCTCTACAGAAAAATGAAGGCAGCAACCAAGTCTCCCACCCCCACCCGCCCTCCACGGTTGCCACCTGGTACGTACGTTGTCGAGGCCGAAGCTCTGCAAGTCATGGACTAGGAGAGAAGGGAGAAGGTGTCACCAGGTGGAGCAGGACCGGCCTCCCGGCTCCCTCCGAGTCCTCGCTCAGGCCTCTCTCTGGAGTGTGACCCGGCTCTTCTTCCACCCCTCATTCCCACCCTCAGCCTGGCGCCGCTTGAGGGCAGCCGGAAAAGGCCTGCCGTGGGCCTGTGTGAGAGTCCACGCCCTCCTCAGGGGTCTTAAGAACACAGACTTCATTTTTCCCCTGACATATACAGGGAGCCCTCTATGGGCATCACTCCAGGCCTTCACTCCCACCAAGGCCCTGCTTGCATCTCAGGAAACAAAACCCACTGATTTTGGTCTCTTGTTAACTAGAGCCGATGGCCAATCACTGAACCCCAGAGTGAGGTGGGACCTGAGAACGCTGTCCCAGCTCTTTCCCTGACTCCTCGGCCCCTGCCCTCAGAGCCCCCCAAAGGAAATCCCATGGGTAGAGATTTCCTTTGTACCATCTGTTCCAGAACAAGTTCTTCCTGCCCTCTAACCCTGATCCCTCCTGCTGCAAGGAACCCCACCTCAAAGATATGTCCCAGGGTTTTTTTTTTTTTTTTTTGTGGTGAGGAAGATTGGCCATGAGCTAACATCTATGCCCACCTCCCTCTATTTTGTACATGGGAAGCCACCACAGCATGGC